TATCACCCCTGCACCGCTGACCCTCATTCCAAAAGAATGTGCTGGTTGGGCGACATAACAGGTTACCGCTACTGTGTATTCCAAAAACATTGTGCGTCTTTCGGTATTAATTTATCTCAAAACCCAGCATTTTAATTTCTCAGAAACGATCATTGCGGGAAAATTGTTGGCCGGGACTAAGATTTTTGAACGATCGATGCGATAAAACGATAGTTCGAGGAACGATAGAAGCGGGAAAATGTAACATTATTTTATATGGGATGTATTCGGGACCGAACAAAACGGACGATGCATCCGGGAAAACGATAGTTCCGGGAACGATAGATAGAGGTTTCACTGTACTTTTTTTTTCCTTTTTGGTTAAATGTATTTCATTTGTACAGATTCTTTGTCTGTGTTAAATTCATCAGATGTAACATCAGGATTCACACTGTCTCCATATTTGTAATTGTTGACGGATAAACATTATTTCATACAATCAGATTTGAGATCTTCATGATGGTGAGGTGGAGACATTATGTTTCCCTGAATCACTGGTATGTACTTGCAGTTCCACATCAACTTGTAATTTGTAAATATGTGTATGTTCTGTTTCCATACCAAATTTCATATGCCTAGCTTCAGTGAGTCATTAGTTATCACTGTCAAACGGAAAGCTAAATAAAATTTTTGCAAAGCCTACATGGTGTTACAAGAATTACCTTAACAAAAGTCGCATATTTTTCAAACATTTATTACGTTGCATATTTTCAGGGACCTATATATTAAGTGGCCCTTCTGGTAAGAGTTTGCATATCCTCAATATAATTGTTATTGATTCTAGGAAATTAAACTGTATGAGGCTGGGGTGGTCTCCAGTGGCATAACATTCATACCAGATTTTGTGAAAATCAGTGTGCTTGTTCAGAAGTTGAATGAACATCCACTTATGGACACATACACGCACACAGCATAGTAATCTTGTATGCCTACTTTTTTCTTGCAGAAAGTAAAATAAGTTGATAATACAAGTGACTGTCATTAAAATGAACACTGAAAATATGTAACTTCAAATATTTTATTTTTATCAGCATTTAAACTTTTGATTTCTTGAGGGATCTCTCATGTCCTAAATTACAGTTTTCTTCTTGGATATCTTTTTTATACATTGAAATATTAGTATTGTTACCACAATTTATATTCCACTTAAGTGCGGTGCATTTATGAGTAAGAAAAACTGTATTTAGGAGGTCTTTTCTGTTAACTGAAGCAGTAGGAGAGTTCTGTTTAGACAAGAGGAAATTCAAGTTCAGGTCCCTGCAAGGTAACAGTTTTTTGTGATATCATTATAATCATGCAGATGTGTTGACACACATAGCGATGATGGAAATTTGATTCTTTTATTTGTGAACATATATTCCATATTAAATTCTTTCTTTTAAGAACCAAATTAAGTTGTAAATAGTATGTAATAATGACTGTTGGACACTTTTTTCTCTAACACAGATGGTGAGGAGAAATTGGCAGGCAGTCCAATGGCAAATTTACCTGTAATAAACCCATTACAGCTGCCAGATGCCTTAGCAGCTTGTGTTCTGTCTACAAGATTGGCCTCTAATCATCGTCAGTGGGCATCTCAGCAGTTGGTATGATAGCAAATAGTTGGGCTGCGATAATGAACATTTCTCATTATTCTTAACCCCTCAAAGCCAGTCATTAATATGTAGTTGAATACACCCCAGAGTGGTAATATTTCCTGTTGTCAGTTGTAATCTGTATACATGATTGCAGTATCAGCTAAATCATTTTGGTCAGTAGCCACCAAATTCTTGTTCATGTAAAAGAAAGATAGTAAATTTGATATTTGCTCTGTACAGACAAACCACTTGAATTGTTTACTAACTAAATCTTCATGTGAAATTAATAAAGAATCAATCACCTGTCAAACCTCATTCTTTCAATATTTTCTTTCTGTTTTCAGACTTAATGATTGTGTAGTGGTACTGTTATTGCTTAGGTGTTATACCCCTAATTGCAATTATGTTATTTTTAATAAGTAATTCTGTACACTTCATGATGCAGGTGAAGTGTATTGCAGCAAGGGTGTCTGTCCTGTCACCCCAGATTCTGGAAAGCCTGAGCTTTGCTGATCTGTCAGGAGTAATGCTCCAGTGTTCTCTGATGGAGCTGGAGGGTCATGACAATCGTGTCAGTTTTACAGCCTGGCATGAAGATAGGGCCATGCTTGCAACCTGGTAATTATATCCTTAAACACATCATGGGCACAGACATTAACTCTGTGTACGAAACATAATATTGTAGTGGTCAGCACTTCTGCTTCATATTTGGGAGATACTGTTTGGATCTAGCATGAAGTGCTGGCAAATCTGACTGAAGTTTATGGTGTTTTACACAGTGTCACCAAGAAAATGATTGGGTAATCCCTTAAAGTAGGTCATAACTGTTTCCAAATGTGCCCTTACAGCTCATCATTCATGTTCATCCTGTGAGGTTCTCATGGCGGTGGAGATGTCAGTGTTGTTCTGGGTTGTGCTGCCATGTGGACTTGTAGGTAGATACCTAAATGGCATAGTTGAAAAAGAGAGGGAACATTCTTGTCCATATACTGTGTAGTATAACAACTATATCTGTGTGTCAGAATTTCTGTGTCTGTGTCAGTGAAGGCAGTAGCAGATTGTGATAATCACTGTGTAATACATGTGAATATAGGTATAAATGTAGCACTACTAATCCATCACTTTCCTGAAGGAACCAAGGAAATGCTCATCATCTGTTTGAACATCAGCACCCTGTTCTTAAAAACCCCCAGTTTACAGGAATGCTATACATTCAGGATATTTCAGAACATTGTGCTAAGGATAATATTTGTAGCAAAGTCAGGGGAAGTAACAGAAGACTGCATAATAATCAAAGAATTTTTTTACTAGCTGAGTAACTATTACCTCCCCAAGAAGGACTCTACTCCGTTTAGTTACAGTATTTACATTGGCTTTGGAACTTATTGTAACTGCACTCACATTGTATCCCAGATCATTATATTTACTGTAAATATAAGTCACTCTTCTTTTCTGTTACAGTGGCTATGATGGAACTGTGCGAATATGGTGTTCAGCCAATGCTAATTCAGCATTACTGGCACACACTTTGGTATTTCATAAGTCAGAAAATGTGTACGGAAGAGAGTTGAGTGGGGAACTTGTTTCACAGTTGGGTTGGTCTTCATCTGGGAAGTTTGTGTCAGCAGCCATGGACAGTATTGTCAATGTGTGGTACCTCCCAGGTTTGTAAATATAAACCATCTTATGAAATATGGTTGAGTTTTATTGTATTTTATAATTCATGCAACAAATTTATAGAATACATGTTTCTTGGGAAAGTAGGTTAAAGAACATTCTTATATGTTTATTAAAATGTAGGTTAGTAAATTAAAGCTGTCCCAATAAACAATAAACCAGAGCTGCTCAGCCTTATGGGTGCATCGCACCCAGGTAGCAACATATGAGGGGTGGCAACATTAGAGCGGCAGCAACTTGCTATGGGGGCACAAAATTTTGAAGCATTGCATTGGAGTGCCAAAAATCAGGGGTGGTGCCAGAGGGTAGCAAAGTATGTAATTGCTTACAGGATTTTTCTTGGTTCTTATAGGTAATGAATGACCACTTACAGACACTAACAGTTCTTGTGTTTACAGTTAACATTGTTCATAGGCTTCAGTCATAATGAAATATGCATAACAGAACTGGGAATCACTTTTATACAGTAATACAAATTAGTTTTTAAATATATTAACTTCTGAAAATCTTGTAGATGGTCCAGATGTTGCTGTGACAGGAGAGGATTGCCACATTGACACCCAGCTGGCATGGGTAACTTCTATGGCATGGCCACAAGTGACAAGCCAAGATGAACCAGAACACCTGCTAGTGGGAACAATCAATGGATCAGTTGCCATGCTGACCATCTTCCCTAGGAGCAAACAACATGAAGAACTAGTCCATTGTTCACAACAGTATGGTAGGTGCAAATTAGTACCCAGTTAGATCAGTAATTGTTGATAAAGAAAGTTAACTTTGCAGTTAAAATATTTTGTGACATCTTTTCATTGTTGTTCTGTGGTTCTTTCCCCCCTTTTATTGCACTTCACAAAGCCATTAGTTCTTATTGCATGTTACAGAGTGATCACTGTGATTTTACTTTACTTTTCTCTTCTGCCAGCTTCAGTTACGCACATTGAATGGTTTGATGAGGAAAAGGAGTTTGCCATCGCATTCACAGATGGAGTGATGAAGTTAGGACGGAAGAATCCTAACTTCCAGCCCATATCAATATCTGCACATCAGGTTAGTTGGTATTCAGCAGTTTGTGATGGTATACTGATTTTTGTGGATTAATGTTGTCAGCCATGTTGTAGATTTAAAGTGCCGCACATTCTTAACCGCAGCTGTGGATGGATGTGCATCATCAGTTTCACTCTTTTACATGACATGGTGCAACTTAACTGTAATGGGGGTTCACATATGGTTTTCTTTAATGTTACTGAATGATCCTCATACATAAAGGCAGTCAGTCAATGATGGCTGTCAGCACACATTTTCTAAAAGTAAAAGTCTTTGGAATTTGGAATTGTGGATATACTAATAAAGATTTATGTTATCTAAGGGAGCCTTGTCTGGTATGAAGTGGGACCCATGTGGTCAGTTGTTAGCAACTTGTGGAGTGGATGGAGTTTGTCGCATATGGAAAGAGATGGAAAGTGTCTGGTCTTGTGTTCATACACTGGTACCACCGCATGAACCAGTGTCTCTCACATGGTCACCTTTTATAGGTAAGTAAACTCTGCAATATTATATGAGATTTGAGGCTTTAGCAGCAGTAGGAATATGGAATGTGGTCTTCTGGGTTAAGACACCGAGTAGTCTTACAGGTGATTACCAGTGTTTTGGAGGTCTGCCCTGAAGATGGAGGTGATACATTTCTCCAAAATGTTAACTACTAGATAGCATCTCAGTCCAGAAGACCAAAATATATTATCCAATGTAATAATAGAGAAAGATGATTGTTTTACCAGTAGGTTTATGTGGTGACTTTTCTGACAGATTTACATCAGGTTGGTATTGTTGATGACAGAACATTATAAAGCACTAAAAACAAAGTGACCTTACTGTTATTACAATATTTTACAAAAACTGTTCAACTAGTATCTGTCATGTAGATATAAATACCTGAATTAGGGGATGGACAGTGGGACAGACATATGCATCTTTGTAATATGGTTCTGAAGATTGGACAGGCTTCCTTTTGAACCATTAAGTGATACTAAACCGTTTGATGTTTCATTGTAGGTAAAGGATGTACTTCTCTTCTACTGTGTGTGGGAACTGTACATGGTAAAGTGAGCGTATGGATACTGCCTGATGCCCATATAGAAGAACACCACAGCCGGACAGCACCACAGTTGGTGATGTACCTACAGGGACACTTATATCACCCTGTCACATCTTTAGCCATCCACAAGGATGGTCTACTGCTTGCATCAGGTCAGTTCCACAAAGCAGAAATGTGAGTAGCATTAATAATTTGTTAGTTTTCTTAGGAGATGGTGTTCAGTATTTTGATTTGTGTAGGTATGAACGTAGAATCACATTGATGATATTGAATGCAAAAACATGAGAACCCAAGGAAATTTATGAATATTTCTTTGGCAGTATGTTCCAACTGAATAAAGTCAGTAGGTTCATATATTGAAACTGGACTTACCAGTGTTATATTACAGCACTTAGCTATATAATATCAGTTCTGTAAGGAGGAACATAAAATGTTGGCAATGTAAGAGCCTAAAATGCCCATAGTGTAGCGTGACAGAGATATAGTCTTACCCTATCACAACAATAATAATAAGTTCTTCCCTGTAGTATAATTTGTTTTAATTAGTTTCATTTAATTAGAATTGGTTATATTATTTTTTTAGGCAGCATCAAAGGACCCAGTGGTGTTGTTAACATCTGGTCTCTTCAAGATGGCAGTCTCTTGCAAACAAACACTGGAACAGGAGGTGTCCACTCATTGACCTGGCTAGGGGAAACTGGTTTGGCTGTCTGCTTTGGTAGATCTAAGGTAACACCTCTTTCATTTTATCATACATTATCTTGCTGGTGACTGTAACATTGCTATAATGGGAGGAGATGGAATTAAATTACATGAATTTTTACGGGATGTTGAAACAGTTGTTCTCTTTGAGACTATTAATAAATGTTTTGTACAAGAAACTTATGCATGACATGAAATATAGGTCTGTTTAAGACAAACATATTTTTATAGAACTCTTATTTTGTATATTTAACAGAATGCAAGAAAAAATTATTTATTTCTGTATCAGGAGTATATTACAAGTAATTAATATTACATCTATGTAATTAACCTGTTGTTTCCATTGTTTTACAGGATGTTCGTGTAGTGCATTATGGTATGACCGAGATGACCCAAGTCCGTGTGTTAGCAGGGGCGAGAGCTTCACTGCTCCGCCAAGGTGTGACAGGTCTGCAGAATGCTCCATGTCTGCGAGCACTGTTGCTGGCACTACCCACCCTTCTGCAAGAGCAGTATCAGTATGAGAAACCACTAGTTGTGAGTGGAGAGCAGCTGTTACACAGTGGGTATCTCAAGTGCTTGGCATCTCTAGTCCTAGTGCTGCAACTGGACAAGGTGCTGTGCTATCGGCCTGTGCCACCCAACCACGATAAACACTCCTCTGTTGGTAAGCTTCATGACTGTTATAATTGTAGGAATATATGTTGTCAGCCTCTTGCTTGCACTTTGAATCTTTCTAGAATTCTGATGCTCATAGTAGATGACTGCTTTTAATTTGAGGTCTCAGAAGTGAATATTTCTTTGTGCTGAAATTAGAATTTTATTGCAGTTCCAGAATGGCAGTGGTTGCAGGTTTTCAGTGTTGGCGTACATACTGCTGAATCACTTGTAAATAGAATTAAGTTACCACAGGAGTTCTGTGCACTTGTGCTGGAAGGAACTACAGGTGGGTATTTGTTTTTTGCATCTCAATAGAGTTGACTGTAATCCAGGAATGTTGGAATTCTAGCAACTGATTTGCAGCAGGTCTTGGAATTAGAATTGTCCTCTTTTTACTGCTCTCATCTTGTATGTGAATTTTATATTGTATCTGCTTCTTTCTGTTTATGAGTATATGCATGTTGTGCATGACTAACCAATTTCTCAATGATAACACTAATTGGCAGATTGTTTTGTTTTACCATTATGCAGTTTTCAGAGGTAGCTAAGGAGATAAAGATACAAAGGGGTAAAGAAGAGGAAGAAAGGGTATACTGGATGAAGATATGAAGGAAGCTATTCCCTGTTGAATTTCAGTGGTCCTCTTCTAGTTATTCTGTGTTTTGTTAAGTGTAAAATACCAAAAGGACATTATTCCATAATGTAAAATTTGAGGGAGACAAATTTATTACAGTTCATGATATTAAATGTTTTGATTTGTTAGTTGTACTGAAAATAGTTAAACTTTTTTCAGAAATTTGCATTAAGGGAGTTCAGTATTTACTTGTTATATTTTAATTTTCACAAAGAAGGTCATCTTCATGTGTTCATATAAGGGACTAGATGGAGATAAAAATATTTGAGGAAATCAAGTTACATTGCATATGTGATGTTCTTAATTAATTTTCTAGAAGAGGAAGAGGATAGCCTAACAGCCACCAATAACTCATTTTGGAGCCTAAAAGCAGATGAACAAATTATGAGTTGGTCTACCCAACAACCTCATGACTGGCAGATTGGTGGGAAGTGTCTTGCTTTTTTGTGGGGCAGTGGTAGGCACGGCCAACTTGGGGAAGCAGGTGAGATTATACTAAAGCAGAATTATGTCAGTAGCAGTTCTGAACCAAAAGTCTGGTTTCAGTAATGGGATCATCATGTAGAATGTTATATTATTTACAATTATTTATTGCTGTCCAAATCTGACTTCAGATATTCTTGGAGTCTCTGTATTGATATTTTTGGCACTAAAAAAAACTTTCAAATGATGCTGTACATTTATTCATGACTAACTGTTATGAAAACATTTACACCTCAGGAGTTTGGAAGACAGATTTGTTTATAGGTTTTCATTAAAAATATTAAAACAAGATGGATAAAATCATAGCATATCACAACTAGTTACATATTTTTTTGTTTGTATCTTCAGAAGGTACAATTTAATTATTATTATTATTATTATCATCATCATCATCATCTTGACCACTGCCACCACCACTTCAGAAACAGATTGTTATGAAGATCTATAATATGCATAACTTAAAATGTTTATTTTATTTATGTTTACAACTTTGGTACATTTGTATGTACCAAATATTTATTGAAACAAATTTTAAAATATATTTATGTATGTATTCATCTATAACAGTACATGTTATAGAGTTTTAATCAAATTACACAATATTTACGGATTAAAAGAATTTGCAACACTTTATTTTATTCATGTGACTTTATCCTGAGTACTGTTACTCCATATATGTGTCTAGGAAAGTTCCATACCTCATTTGTTTAGACTTTGAATTATTCTAATAATTTGTATTTTTTATTTTGTAATGGAACTACAGTACTTCAATAAAAACAAATTCAGAATCTCATTGAAACTCAATGCAAGTACAGTAACATAGGTTATTCTGTCTCTGTCTCTACACATGTGGACGCCTGTGCAAAAGTCTAACTCAACATTTGATTGCCCAAATTTTATTATGTGTAAATTTTCTGTTTGACTTCCTTCATGTAGATTTGTACATGAATACAGGAATCATGTTAAGTGTATGTCTGATAAATTGTAAAATATTTTAATCAATTCTCATAGTGTTTTCATTTCTGAGCACCAGTCATCTTTATGTGTTGATGTTAATGCATTAGAAATTCTTTCTTCTGCAGGTCGTAGCTCATTGGTACCAGTTGAGACAGAATCCTTCTCAGGAGCACAACAAATTATCTGCGGTCAGAATTGTACATTTGTGATCCAAGCCAATGGCACTGTATTAGCTTGTGGTGAAGGCAGTTATGGACGTCTTGGACAGGGAAATTCTGATGATCTCCATTCCCTGAGCATCATATCTTCTCTTCAGGGTAGGTCAGACATTATGTGACTTGGTATGTCATTACATTAAATCCCATTATTACACATACAGCAGATATGGATATAGAAAAAGGCGTTTGGCAGCTGCCATTAATTTCTGTTAAAACATAGGTTTTTCAGTCATCAGAATATTGATAAAACTGAAATCCAACTTTTTTAGTTTCTGTAATGTCAGATTTATGGTGTTATTGTGAATAGTTTAAATATAACTCATTGATAATAATTATTACAAGTACAGCAGTACTTTGGAACAGAGCAAAAACAATTCAGAGCTTCAGGTTTAATGATAGAAATACGTGTCTTTATCCAAATGTTGAATAACCAGTTAACTACAAGTATTGCAGTTGAAATTCTGTATTTCAGGATTTGTGATCACAGCTCTGGCAACTTCATGTGGATCTGATGGCCACAGTCTTGCCCTAGCAGAAAGTGGTGAAGTATTCTCATGGGGTGATGGTGACTATGGTAAACTGGGTCATGGGAATAGTGATCGACAGCGTCGACCTCGACAGATAGAAGCATTACAAAGTGAAGAAGTGGTGCAAGTAATTAAGAATTGTATATTTAGAGCCTTATTCTTCACTGTGTACTTTATTTTTGTACTTCCTTACACAGAGACTTCCAGTTTATGTGGTTCAACTTGGTTTCTGAAAAGAAGAAGGCTTATACAGCTTCTCTCTTCATAATATGCTTTTCACAAAAGCAGTATTATTAGAAGTCCCTTTTAAAATCATATGAATAATATGAAAAAATCTTTTGAGGTAGGGTAGATTTAAAATTCCACAAGTTGATACAGTAAGAAATTATCTTTTCTGATCTTAGTTCCTCACTTATAGGAACACTTTTTTGGGACGTTTCTCTTTTAAAACTGATGGGGCATGGAAAAAGAGGAACACTAATATTGAAATTTATTTACTGTGTCAGGTTGCGTGTGGTTTCAAGCATAGTGCAGTTGTAACAGCTGATGGGAAGTTATTTACCTTTGGAAATGGTGATTATGGTCGACTAGGTTTGGGCTCAACAGCAAACAAGAAACTGCCAGAACGTGTGGCAGCACTGGAAGGACATATTATTGGTCAGGTTGCATGTGGATTGAATCACACTGTGTGTGTGTCATCTGATGGCAGTCTAGTTTGGACATTTGGTGACGGAGATTATGGGAAGTTAGGACTGGGGAACACAGCCACAAAATCGACTCCACAGGTAATTAAAGTTGACAATAACACTTCATTCATTTACTTCACTTATAGTACACCTGAATTGATTCGGGGGGCAGTTATACTGTTTGAGGGTTTTTATACATTTCCTCAGTCTCTTGTCTTAATTTCCTTTCTATATTATCATGTAATTGCTTTTTATCATGATATCTGCATATCATTTAATATTCTGTTATTAGTATTTTGGCTAATACCTCCAGTTATGAACTGTTTGATTGTCCTGGCATCTAGCTGCCCAGGCAGTAGTGAAGGAGTCCATTTCTATGGAAGATGCACATTCAGATATAGTTTTTACCACTCCAGATGCTATGGTGATGATTCTTAGTATTTGGCATTGTTTCAGAAAGTTGATCTGCTCTGTGGAGTTGGTGTGAAGCGTGTTTGCTGTGGAACACAGTTCACTGTATTTCTTACACAAGATGGACGTGTTTTCACTTGTGGTATGGACCGCCTCATTGGCCAACCTGACTCTAGGGCTCGTGGCCACACCAAGCCACAGCAGGTTAGTTCTACATACAGTAGAATGAAATGGTCAAGGCATGTAACACATAGGGGAGATGGAAAATGCGTACATAATTCTGGAAAGCCTGGAGGGAAGAGACTACTCAGAAGACCTAGGCACATGGGAGAATAATATTAAAATGGATAATAAAGAAATAGGGTAGGAGCATATGGTCTGGATTCATCTGACTCAGGATAGGGACTGGTGGTGGGCTATTGTGAACAAGATATTGAATCTTAAAGTTCCATATAATGCAGGAATTTCTTGACTTGCTCAGAGATTGTCGTCCTTTCAAGGACTCTGCTCCATGGAGTTAGTTATAGCAGAAGGCACATTATTCTTGTCATCAAGACATTATAATACAAATCCTGTATGACACTAATGGTAGCCATTGTTTTACTCTTATACAGGAGTCCCAAAAAGATGTATATACACATTCAATAAAATAAATAAAGACATTTTAAACAAAACCATTACATATGTCAGCGTTGGAACTTAGTGATTTAGTGCATCTAGTGTGGGTATGCTAAGTGACCACCGCTAGCTTTGTGGCACAGTTGACAGTGGTGATAAACTGACTGACAATCAGCCACCAAAGTTGCTGATGGGATAGCTAAATCTGGCGATCGGGTCTACTCAACAGATCCTCTGCGTCCTAACCATCAGTTGGGTAAAGTTTTGTCAAGACAGGCCTGATATCACAATGGTAATGTGGGATGTCCCATCTTGTTGATATCACATGTCCTTATCTCCATACAGTTGACAAACGGTAGGAACAGTTCCATATGTGTATACGTCTTTTCGGGACACTCTGTGTATTTCATTTACTTGATCCTGTACCATTTATTTGACTTCCCACTGTTGTGCCTAAGCCTTTTTCAATATCAGTGTACTCTCTTCTTCTGAATGTGGTTGTTTTGCAGATGCCCATTATCTGAGGTAGATTTGTTGTATATGACATTCTGAAGTCGTATCTCCTGTTTCCAGGAAGTTGGCTGTCATAGTGACAGTTGTCTTTTAATCATTTTTTTTCAGCTAATGACAGTAAGTAATATCTAATAGGTAAAGAGTTTAAGTCTGTTTGCTGCCATAAAAAATTAAAATACTTTTAAAAGAACCTGCCAGTATAATAAAAACTGGTTACCTGAAGTTGGGAACAGATGAGCTGATTGTTTTTTATATATTTTACTTGTTGAATCTGCCCAGCTTCATAGTTTATATATCATTTAATTGGACAGTAATTGTTAATTATGAATTTGAAAGAATGTGGAAGTTGTCATGGCCTATTTCAAGGCAATAACCCAATGTTTGCTGGGGGGGGGGTGATAAAATCAAAAAACCTTGGTCAGTATAGTAGGCCTCTGTACCAAGAACTGAATTAAGGACCTCCTAAATACAAAGCAGGTGTGCTAGTCACTTGATTATGGTGTTCAGCATGCAAAAATGTTATGAGTATTTCAGGCAGTGTCGTAGAAAGTGCTTGTCTCAAGAAAGTTACCATGCTCTTTTCCTTCGGTGTTTAATGTGTTAGTGTTTGTCTTGTATGTATGTCATTAACTGTTTTGTTTTATTTTCATAGGTTCCAGCTTTGAATGCTTACTTTGTTGAAGAGATAGCAGTAGGAGCAGAGCATGCACTTGCCTTGACATCTGGTGGTGATGTCTGGGGGTGGGGCAACAATAGTGATGGTCAACTTGGTCTTGGTCACACAGCCATTGTGAGGGAACCACAGTTGCTTACAGCTCTTTTAGGGAAAGGTGCTAAGCAGGTTAGCAATGCTTGGTGTATGGTACCAGAACTCAGATTATGCTGACTACACGGTAACTTCAACCTATAGATTTATCTGAAGTCTGTATTAGATTTGTATCACTAGAGTCAACATCATATTTAACTTTTTTCTAAAGCATTGATTGAATTATATTGCAGATCGCTCAATTTTCACTTGGCTGTACAACCTTTAAGACTGTCATAAGAAATATGTAGTTGCCAAAAATTAATGCTTCTAATGTTAGCAGATATTACTAGGATGATCAGATAAATGGGGATAAGATGGGTGGGGCATGTAGCATGTATGGTGAAGATGAGAAATATGTATAGAATTTTAGGTGGGAAGACTTAAAGTTAAAGACAACTAGGCATAGATCAGAGGATAATATTAAAATGGATCTTAGGGAGATAGGATAGAAGGGTATGGACAGGATTCACCTGGCAGTGCTGGTAGGCTCTTTTGAAGACAGAGAAAGAATGTTCTGGTTATAAAAAACTACAAAAAACGGAATTTTTTGACTAGTTAACAACTGTCAGTTTCTCAAGAAGGACACTTCTCTGTGGAGTTAGTTATGTCATTGTTTTCAAGTAGTACATTTTAAATTGTTTTGTTATTCAGATTTCTACTGGAAGGACACACAGTGCAGCATGGACTTCTCCCTCATTGCCTAGACAAAGTCAAGGGGTATCAATACCTCTGCGATTCGGTTTACCAGCACACATTCCTCCTCAATATGGCCACCTTCAAGGAATGTCCATAGTCACCATACAGGCACGACTGAAACTTCTGTATCGCTTCTCTGACACCCTGTATGCCTGCTGGAGATTGTTGCCACTCTGCCCTCAGGTTAGGCCAGTGTTAATATGAACCAGCTGTGGAATTGATTTGATAGTCAAGAAGGTATTCAGTTTCTGCATTTTCAACTCTTCTTTGTATCACATTTTACACAAGATTATTAACTATGATAGTGAAATATCACATTTGCTCTAGTTAAATTATTTATACATTAACTAAAAACTAGGACTTATGTTGTGCACTAATTAAAGTAATGTTTATGTAGCAGTATGAATGGCTTACCCCATCTCTGCGTGTTTTCACATCATCTCAACTGCGACCACTGTTAGCACCAAGAGTCTACACATTGCCTTTGGTTCGAAGTGTGGGTCGCACCATGGTGCAGGGTCGAAATTATGGCCCACCAGTGACAGTTCGAAGGCTGGCAATGAGAGGACGCCGCTGCAAACCAATATTTGTACAAGTTGCACGTCAGGTAGTTAAAATGAAGCCAGCAGATCTTCGTCTACCATCCAGGGCATGGAAGGTAAGTGGTACATACATATTCATACAGTTTGGGTTGTCAGACATTGCAGATTTCCACATTACAGAACATGACACTTTTGTCCTTTATAATGCTGTACAGTTAAAAGCATGGTGTTACTGAGTTCCTTAATATTAAATTGTAACTCCATTAATATAACTTTAATATAATGAGAATAACATGTTGAAAATATGCATTCATTTGATTTTGGATTGAGGCTTCAGAACTTTGATATCATGTGAGTAAATGTGCAGATTTTCTGATGAATAATATTATTAATGATGTTTCACTTCAGTTTCTAATTGTGTTTACTTTCAAAAGGCAAAGTATTCCTTTGCTTAAGTTCTGTGTCATGAAGACATAGGTGGAAGTGGAGGTAAAGCTCCACACATTGTTGACCTTGGCTATAGGTGTAGGTGAGTGGTCAGTTTTATGCTCCAACTTCTTTACCTCTGGGGAAGGAGCTCCTGGTAGCCAGTGGACAGGAGGATACGTGGGCACCAGGGCTTGTCTTGACATCTGGAAAAGAAGAATCCCTGCCTCTACCAGGAATCATAATCCAGTTATCCAGCTCATGGCTATTCACTTCCCATACTGAGCTATCCTCATTAATTCTAAATCCATAACAAAGTGCATGTTTACATAAGATGATGATATTTCCTTTTAATTGTTATTATTCTTCAAAATATGGAAAACATTCATCTTTAATTCCCTTAACATGTCAATGAGACCTGCTCCCGAGAATGACAATAAACATTTCTGGTAAGAGAAGAAAATGCTGCTCATGTTTTGTAGGTGAAACTGGTGGGTGAAGGAGCTGATGATGCTGGTGGAGTGTTTGATGATACTATCACAGAAATGTGTCAGGAGCTTATCAGTGGAGCAGTGCCTCTGCTGGTGCCCACACCAAATGCAACAAATGATACTGGCTACAACCGTGACCGCTACCTACTGAATCCAACCCTGTGTTCAGCAATGCACCTTTCATGGTTTAAATTTCTTGGTAAGCTGATACATTTTTGATAGATGTATTATTTAGGCATTTTATTATACTTTTCTGACTACAAAGGTGATATGTCAGTGATGGAATTAATGACAGGTGAAATGAGATAATTACAAGAAATTATATTTAATAAAAACTTTTCCATTGGAACATACAGTTTATTGGGGAAAACAAAGTTATTTTGAAATTTGGTTGATAATAGATCAAATGAAAAGGTTTTGTGATGTGGATTGCATTGATGCTTTGAAGTGGGATGAGTAATGGATCTTTCTTGTTCATTCAGCTATCAGTGAGTTAATTATTACTATCACATAGAGTAATTTCTTGCTTATAGTAATTGCAGTTTACACAGACTTGCAAGAAAGTTTAAGTACTAAACTAAGTCCATGGTTTATTATGAACTTGCAGGAATTTTGTTCGGAGTTGCAGTGAGAACCAAGAAGCCACTTGCAGTTCCTCTTGCTCCATATGTGTGGAAACTATTAGTAGGAGAACCAGTCTCCATAGATGATCTAGAAGAGACAGACAGTCTATATGCCCAGAGTCTGAGAGGCATAAGAGATATACATCAGTCTGGTGTTACTGAAGCCACATTCCATGAAGTAATTAAAACTACACACACACACACATATTTATTTATATAGCTTAAATGAATGCCATGATTAGCACTCCTGCTTCGTATTTGGGAGGTCTCAGGTTCAAATCTCGGCCCAGAGATTTTTGTGATTTTCCTCGGTCCTTTCAGGCCAATTCCAGGATATTACCTCAAATGAGGCATGGCCACTTCCTTCCACATAATTTCCAATTCATTATTTATTATCATCTTCTCATTTGACACTATATAGTCTGAGTTACTGAAAAAGCATTGTTAAGTTAACTATAAATAAATAAAATACTGCTTAAATTGCAACTGCAGCTCTACCATCGCAGGTTGACAATGAAATTAGGCCAGTTTCAAAATGTGATAGCATATTGGTCATGTGGTTCAAATGTGTACCTGGGTCATCTGTATTATTCTTGTATGGTTGCAGTCATTGTCAAATAGCCCATAATAGATGAAATATGCGTGGTGAATTAATTTTTGTACAGGTTTGTTTAATTTTAAATTTACATTACCTATCGTATTGGATATTATACATCTAATTAGTAGGTAAATTCAGTGACTTATGAACAGCCCAAACTTGGACACTGCCTTAAATGTGGTATTGGAATTCAAAAATTTTAACTGACTATTATTAACCACAATGTCTGGGAAAGTCTATTTTGTACTTTCTGGTCTCTCAGTTGGTGATTTTTCTCATTGGTGCTGCCAGTGAAAGATTTAATGGAACTTAATTTTTCTTGAGCAGAGAGGTAATGAAGCTAGTCTTGGCTGTAAATATATTCAAACACTTCTTTGTGTCTGGAAAACATATTTTAAGTATTTTGTGCATTAAATTGTAGTAAAATTAGGTGTCTTTGTATTGGTTTTATTTTCCTTTAAAACTATAGTTTATTATAGTCACTTTCTCTTACTGCACTCAGTACATTCATGAAAATACAAGAGGGAAAAATATTGGGGTTTTCAAACAATTTTCTGTTAATAAATCTTACATTCCAGGTGATTCCTCTGGAATGTTTTGAAGGAACCAGTTGTACCAACCAACTGGTACCTATTGTTGCTGGTGGAAGGAGCATACCTCTGACTTTCCACAATCGTTTGCTGTATGTTGAGCAGGCTGTTTACTTCCGTTTGCATGAGCTAGATCTTCAGGTAATGTACATGTATTACAAATGTTAGGCACCATTAATTATTATTGGTACTGTCAAAACTTAAGGTTGTTCCAACTTGCTGTGTACTGCAGCAGCATTACCACTAAACCTTAACCCAGCTGGCAGCTGTGGTACACTGCACTGCACCCTTTATTGTCCTTATAAACAAAGTAAAACTGATGATTAATTCTAATTCACTAATTTTTTATTAAGCTACATTAATGCAGTAACTGTTCAGATGCTGGCTAGTGGATCTAGGGGCAACAGGGTAGTCACCAAGCCCCCATAAAAAGTAAAAGTAATAAAATTTTCTAGTACAGATCAAAATTAAATTTCAGCAAAGTATAAGTAATGCATGGATTTTTCACTATTATGATGCATTAAGTTTATGAGAGTTGAGTATTTTCATGTGTAGAGAAAGGTGTTTTCCAGCTTTAAACTTAACCAAACTACATACATAAAGCATGTGAAGTCTTCAATATTGAAAATATTTGCATATCCATATATTAATAAAATGGAATTACATAAAGTAAAATACTTGTGATAATTTTTATGGTATTCTTTATTTACTCTGAGGAACTAAGAAAAAGTTAATTTAGGTATCTAGTTCTTTAAATTTTGTATTTTAACTGAATAATAATTCAGTATGTTTACATTAACAGCATTTGACTTGTTCTTTAGGTGGCAGCCGTGAGAGAAGGAATGGCATGGATCATCCCTGTTCCTCTTTTATCACTGGTTACAGCTCAACATTTGGAGCAGCTGGTGTGTGGATTGCCTCACATATCAATCCAGATGCTTAGAAGGGTCGTAAGGTAGCGATATATATTTATGGCATTATCCATGTCATTACTACTATTGTTCCAGTCATTTATTACAAATATTATAACAATCCTAACTTGGCTTTTTCCATTATGATGACTACTGTAATTATGTTCAGAACATGGAGTCACAAGGTGTTGACATATCAGTGTTATGTGTGTATTTCTCTAGGTATCGAGAGTTGGATGAAAACAGTCTGCTTGTACAATGGTTATGGGACATCCTGGAAGGGTTTACTAATGCAGAAAGGGTCCTGTTTATGAGATTTGTCTCTGGGAGATCTCGTCTACCAGCCAACATTGCTGATTTGTCTCAGAGGTTTCAGGTATGTTCTCTGATGAAGAAGTTTCCTGTAAGTATCCAGCTATCTCTGTTCCTACTTATCACTTTAATTGTGTTCAGGTAATGAAAGTTGATCGAGCACCAGACGGTTTACCTACAGCACAGACATGTTTCTTCCAACTGCGTCTACCACCTTACAGCAGCCAGGAAATCATGGCAGAACGCCTTCGCTATGCAATAAACAATTGTCGCTCTATTGACATGGATAATTACATGCTGGCTCGAAATATCGACATGGGTCAAGCATCTGATGATGAATATTAACATCAAATCACACCAAGAGTTCTGTGGGTAGAAAATGTTAGTTATGTTCAAAATATATTATTATGATAGAAGGAAGCAACAAACATATGGTCTTCTTTCACTTTTTTTTTTATAAATGATTCAAATAATGTCTTCAGCAGTTGAATACCATGGCTTTGCTTCTTCTCTGCATTACATGTATAATGGAAAAAAGTCAGAAAGTAGAAACTTTTCAGTCAGGGATTAACTAATATCTCTGATGAATAAGTCTTCAGTCATAATTTTTATGGATTACAAGTACTGTAAATTTAAAATGTCCTGCAATAATAATACGTAATTGCTTTAACACTTTCTCTAGTATACTGTCGATACTGTATGCAGTTTTCCAGAAACACAGCTTTAAATTAGAGTCTAATGACCATTGTATAAAGGTTTCTAATTTCTTTTTATTATGCTTTATATACTGGGTTCCTAATATACTAGAATTTATTTATTTTATTTCACTCACTCAAAAATAACTTCCAATTTCACAGGTGAAATTTATAACTTACTCCTATCTGTTTTGATAATTGGTTGATTGATATTATTCATTACAGGTAACACACATTATTTAGTTCCATGAAGAATATTGCAATAAAAAACATTAATCCATATGGCATGTAAGATCTGCCTCCATTGCTGTCAGTGGAAAAACCCTATATTAGTATATATTAATTGAAATTGAAGAGTGATTGTTTCAGTTCATGTCATTTTGCCCTAATTGTTCCTAGCAGTCTCTAATATATTACATTAACTTTACTCTATTTTTTTTTCTAGTTTTATATAAAGTTGTTAACTTCTTTAAATCTCTCTGCCTCCCTGAAATAACACGTAAATGTTTCCTTTTGTTATGTAAGTCTATTTAGTAAGTGCTGCAACAGCCTTCAAGTTCTCTGCCAGTTACAATATAAATTCTCATGAAGTATTCATATGGGATGTGAAATGTAAACTTATTTAGTATAATAACGTAGAATATATTATGTTTCATAATTCATATACATGTAAATTGCTGAGATGCTGCCATTTGTTATGCAGTAACAAAGTCTGAGTACACATCTGTGTGACTTAGGTACATTTCTGAAAGGTTTTGTAACTTTCTGCTCAGTCCTAACAAGAGATGGGGTGACCATGTACCTGTTGTGAAAAATGCATATAAGTGAATTTTAACTGTGATATGTGTATTGCTTGTGGGACTACCATTAACCCTTTGCTTATCCTAACAAATTAAATCCCCTCTGAATGTCTTTGACAGAGTTCTTGTATTACTACCATCTTTCTTTTGGACTTTGTCCATTGTGTGTTTTTTAAAAGTCTTTAAAATCTTAAAACCTTGATAATCTTACTTCATTTTCATGTAAAAAAAGTGGGGAGATGCCTGTTCTGTTGAGCCCTGTGGACAGACAATGGATAAAGTCTGATAGAAGGAAATACAGTAAAACCTGATTTTAAATTAAAAAATATCCAGAAAAATTAGATAGCACCATACACTGCTGTTTAACTGGAAATAATGAAATTGTTTGAACAGAAATAATCACTTCTGCTTACATTTGGTATGTATTTAAGATGTTCTTTGCTGAGCCCTGTAGACCCTAGTCTGGTCTGTTTATGCTGCATAATAATTTCAGAAGTTATTTACTTAATGGAATCTTGATACATACGACGATTTTACTCGGTTATAAGCATGTATACATGAAAATTTGGCCCATTTACAAGCAATACAACTATTTTCAATGCTTTAGATTGATAAGAAGTGAAACATAATATGAGCATTTTAATGGAATATACGTATACAGTACATTCCGGTTAATTGGGTCATCGGTTAATCGGGGCAGTCGTTTATTTGGGACAAATCTTAAAGAACAAACCTTTTTAACTCTTCATGTGGAACTTCACATAATTGGGGCAGCCGCTTAATTGGGCCAAGGTGTTCTAGTCCTGATGTGTCCCAATTAACCGGAATCCACTGTATTGTGCACTGTATGTGATATGGAAAAAAAAAAGCAGTTTAAAGGTTTGGACATATATCACATAGGAAAAGTAAATATAGACGCCATGAATTGCATCTCATCAGTCCACATTGCCCATTGATGCAGTTCTTCAGTTTTTGTTTCAGTAGTGACTGTGTATACTTCTTTACATTTTCTCACCACAATATGAAGAAATGTTCCAAAGGAGTGAAGTTAGGAGATCATGCAGACCACAGACTGGGAAACCTTGTACCAACCAATAATTAAACAAAGATTATTTATGAACTGTTTCATATTAGTACCTGGGAAGTCAGCTAAGGTATCATCTTGCTGAAAACCTACATTTCAATGTCCTATAAATGCTGTGGCATCAATTAAAACTAGAAAGAACGAGGTAAGCTATTTCACTGATATAAAACTTTGTAAGAATGCAGTGGTATGCAAAGTAAAAGGTTGAGAACTTTTGATGCAAAACATTGCCCTCTTTTAACTCATTTTTATAAAAATAAAACAGCACCACTTGTCTGTGTCAAAACACATATATCCATATAATTTGAAGACTGAACAAGGAGACCACCTACAGATGCCCTTACAAGTGTGATAAAATGCCTATTTATCAGTATGATAAAATATAGAAATTATAAAAAAAATCCTTATTATAATAAGACTGTTGTCCCACATTTTAACACATTCCACTACTGGGCATTTAAAAGCAGACCATAATTAAATGCTGGAATTTAAAGCCCAAGTTATAAAGAGTAGTGAGTGGTGTGCTAATATTTTCTTTTGTTGGCACTGGCAGCATTAAAGAGCATCCAACAAATGTAAAATCCCAAATTTGGCAGTGAATGTGTTATGGAAGCACTTATCATTATTAATGCTTTTATCATATAATGCCATGCTCTTTTCTCTTGAAGCAAAGGTGAAATCCTGCTTTGCAAGTTACTTGCATAATTCCTTTATTTGGAGACAAGTTATCGTATGTATTGTATCATGCAACAACAAATATATGTAAAAAAACACTAAACTGTTTTGTTACTCATATATCACATGAGATCTCCAGTATATCAGCAAGACATGAAGAACTTCAGCTTTAAAAAACACAGAAAATGTATTTCTTAATACAGACTACTTAATATTTCTAACAAGCTGAGAATGTGCCACACATCATCATCCAATGATGATTCCCCAGCCTCCATAGATGCTCCTGTATCTGTGTCAATTGGTTCTTACTCTTTTGTGAATCTGCCCTCACTTGCTGTCTATTGTAATTTATTCAACATGTTCATGTTTTATTATCTCAGAGTTTTGTTGTCTTCCTTATACAACACATCCTTATTATCATATCCTCAATATCGTATACTTGAAGTGTTTTTATTTTCAGCTATTAGATTTGGATTTTACCCTTCTTGTTCCTTTGTTAATGCTTAATAGAAACTTTACCTGAACTGTTTATATATATCAGAATCATTTTTTTTTGCTACATATATCACATTTGTTAAGTAATATATTTAATCACTGGGTCCAAGTAATACATTTAAACGAGAATTATACTGAAGTATTTTAGTCTTTGATCCTTTTGTATAAAAAGTTCATATTAATTAAAATTACAGATATACAGTTTTCATTTTATGTTGTATAGCATATCACCACATAAAATATTATTCATACTGGATATCACAAGATAATTGTTTTATACCAGTACAGGGTTTATTAACACATTGAATGTGGGTCATGTCGATCTCTCTTTTCATGCAACTACGTAATCAACTACTTTTCCATTTACACTGTTGCACTGTACAGAGTCAAAGTCAGCAGAGCAACAGACAAACTCTCCACAGCAGTACTGAAGCTGCCAGAAACAAAACCATTTTCTCAATCGGTATAGCATTTCTGAAACAGCAGATTTAAAAATGTGCAGGATCTGAGGCATTTAAATTTTAAAAATTGCTGATATGCAGTATGTTCAGAAACCCATCTAAAAACCAGCACTCGTGCTATTGATTTTAATATCTTTCTTTCTCATTTTACTGGTCGTATGGCTCAGAATCATACATTCTTCGTCTTGTATTAACTCTCGACTCTGTTGGATATTCTCATTTTGTGATACACATATATCTTGACTGAATGTGTCATTAACTTGAAGATCCAATATTTGAAGAATATCTTTGGTAGGACCTTCAGTATGTCTTGAAACTGAATTAAGAGGTGTTGAAGTAGCAAATTTTTTTCTGGAATGGGTCAGTATGTTCTGTGACCCATGAGGTAGTGTTTCGTGTAAGCCCTTTATTGCAATTTGAGAATGTTTTCTTGATTGTGGTGTATTCAATGCAACTTGAGATTTCTTAGATCTTCTAACCTCTTGTTCTCGTCCATTGTGTGATACATTGTTCTGATCTTCATTCTGAACACTGGTCAACCATGCTTGTACTTTATCATGTGATGTGGGAGAATCATGTTCCTGGAAAACAAACTGTCCTTCATACCACTCTGGTTCTTCTTCAATGCCCCAAACTCCAAGCATCCTAGGAGCCAGTACATCAATACAACTTTCCATCACTTTCTTGGACATCTTCCACTTATTACCTCCCCGAATCTTTCTTTTTCTACCGTGATGTTGTTTGTATTCACAAGATTGCAGTCCTGAAACATGTATATACATTCAGCCAATTTCAAATCCCTTATGTTCACTACAGCCTGTCTTAAGAATCCTTCAGTACTGAAGACCTCCGTATAACTTTGGGAATCTTGAGTCCCAGCTACATATAGTAATTTACAAGCTGTAACTCTTACACACAGAACTTTTGTATTTGAAAAACAAACTATAAATCATATTAAGAACTGACCAGGCTTGGACAATTGTACTGAGTTGCACTGATTGTCACTATGAAAGAGTTAAATTATTCTGCCATTGCAAGTTTCTTTTCCTATAGTTATACTTATTTAAATATGACAGAAATAGAATCAACATAATTTATAGTAATAATCAAAATATCTTACTTCCATATATGTGTTCCATTTCCTTCCTTCTTGTTAATTTCAGAATAGCTGATGCCTTCTTCTTGAGTAGCTGTTGTTCCCAGTTTACCATGCATCGAAATTCCGTTTTCTTCAAATAGTCTTTCATAATCTCTGAACCACTATTCAGATTATTATTCTGATTTGTACTGTCCCCCATACTTCTGCTATGCTCTTTTATCTCACTTGATCCCAGAAATTCCCTAGGCTTCAAGATGTGACTGAAGACATCTCCAGCAGAAGTCTGAGAGAGAAGAGTAAGCTTAGAAGCTTGTGGTGGGAGCCATACAAGTCCTGTCAGGCTAAGCTTACAACGCTGTTGTGTGAAAGGATCAAGCCACAGCCCATATTTGTGAGCAGAATAAAGTGCATCGTGCAGGTTCGGGATAGCAAAAGGAGGTACCTGGCAATACGGTACTTTGCCCTCCCAAGTATTGAGGAATGTTACTATCTCACCAGGTTCTTGGTTTCCTATGCATACCAACTCTTTGCCACTACTAGGTGCTACTGTACAACCATATAATGGTGTGGAACAGAGGAGGTGTGTCCAACGTTGTAAGGGCTTTGATCCAGAGCGTATGTCATAAAGAAGAACATGGTGACTTGTACACACATATAAGGCATGTGGTAGTATGCAGCTTTGGAACACCAATGATATGTCCTCGCAGTGTTCCAAAATATTTGGCACCTTCTTGGGGCATAGCAGCAAACTTGATTTCCTTATATTCTAAAAAAGAAAACAATGTTAGTTATTAATACATTTGTTTCCACAGTAACTTCTCTAAGAATATTGCAAATCATTATCTGCCATGAATTCTCAGTCTTATTTTTATGCCTACAGCACAAATGAAGGCTACATTTTTCCACATACTCGGAAACATCTTTATTCTTCACTGTTGCATTTCATGGTGAAGGTTCTTCTCCTTCCCACTGCATGCAAGCAGCAACAGCGAACTAGTCAAAATATTTACCTAAAGGGAGGGTTTCTGAGCTTATGTATAATAGATATTTTGATTAGGTACTGCTACGTTCTTGGCACTGAACTTCAAATCCACAATATATTGTACTGCATACTATAAGTAATAGATATATTAACATTTTTCATGCATTTAAAGTTATATCCATAACATAATATTTGTAAGGTTATCTCAGAAATTTGTACCCTCTTGTCTAGAAAATATGAACAGCATCTGTCAGTCATCCTTATCATGTGTGGATCAGTACAGTAGGATACACTGCACCATTTATCTGCCAAATGTTTTTCTGTAGTAACTTGAGAAGTAACACAGTTCCTAGAAGAAAATTACCACCAACAATGCAATATTATTATTTCATTATAGTCAATGAGCATAAGATAATTTACTTAAAAATACAGTGAAATGCCATTATACTACCTTCAAATTTTATTTTTAAAAAAGGAAAGCTTAGATATCACCATTTCACATAACAACTCCATGGAGCAAATCACCTGACAAGCTGTTACTTATTGTAAGAAATTTACTGCCTCTTATGGAACCCTCAATATATGTTCCCTACTATGGTTAGAGATGAGCCGGGATAGCTCAGTCAGTATAGTGACTAGCTACGGGCTGGACGACCAGGGTTCGATCCCCGACGGGAGCAGAGGATTTTTCCTCTAGCCTCTGCGTCCAGACCGGCTCTGGGGCCCGCCCAGCCTCCTATCCGATGGGTACCGCGGTTCTTTCCCGGGGGTAAAGCCGGCCGGGGCGTGATGCCGACCACTCACCCCAATCTAGTGCCGAGGTCAAGAAAGAGAGGAGCTATACCTCCTCTCACCCCAAACGCCTACATGGCGTATAGTGGGACAAACTTTACTTTACTTTACTATGGTTAGAGACCCCCACACCCATACAAAACAAGAGACAAAATTATATACTTTAATCTTCTATTTTTATATAGGAGATGGCAGACAAGAGCATGAACTGTATGGTAACAAGCAATTTACAAACTAATAAGTGATGTATGCTTTAAAATGTGTTTTTTCAGATGAAATAGTGCTTACCATGCATTCAAGTCCCACTCTTGAACACTTCTGTTGGTTGTAACAGTACAATATGTTCCAGGGGAATGGTGACTCATGTCTAATCCTGTGAATGGATGTTTAGATGTTGCCTTATGTATACTTTCCAAACTCAAGCTTGGTTTGAGTGAGTACAGTTGACATACATTGCGTAGACGTATGCCAATAAAACCTACAGCAGCAAGTAATTACATTTAAGTAAGTTATTTCTGTTAGAAACAGATCCAGATTCTGAAAAGTTATGTTCTAAGAATACCAGATGATGGACAAAATCCAGTAATACTAACGAAACTGTTTATTCACATTTGTAGGGTCATAATCAGATATTTTGTTGGTTATCCAAGAGTTTTCATTAGCTCCCTACTTTGCATCTTTCAATATCCATGGAACAACATGGACTTCTATATTTTTCAATTACAAGAGGTAAAAGTCTGTCACTATCGATGGCATTGTATGCATGGAGCACAGTTTAGATACTGTACCACCATGGTAGGAATATGCTCAAAAAACAAGGGTGTTACTTTGCTGTAGATTGAAAAGTATTCCTGTTTCATCAGTGTTATATATGTCACAGTCATCAACTTGAATCTCTGAACCAGGTAGGTATTTTCCCAGTCTTCAATTGTTTCTGGAAATATACTCCTGCTCTAACCTTATAGAGTTTTGTAAGCAATATCATTGGAAGCTGAATGTTCCTAGACAAACAGTGATGTAAATTATAAAATCTGAAGCACCCCAACTGGAATATTCTGGGAACAGTACTGCCAGCACATACTTTACTGAGCTGGCTGCAATAATTTTACCTTTATCTTGCCTGTATAAGCCACACAGTTGGTGGATGGTATGACCAGAGATGGGCTGAACAGAACTGGCAGCTGGCAATGAGGCCTGCCAGTAATTTTTCACTTCCAATGGCACAACACCTGCAAAGAATAATAACAGACTGTGCACACAAGTGTAAGTATTCTTCAGATAATGTAAATTATTTCAGCCACACTGTAAGTTTCTCAGTATAGCAGGCTGTAAATTTAGGGCTGTCTGTTGCCTTAAAAAGTGAATAATAATCTGGACTGCAACAGATGAGGTAAATGTTCTGAATGCACATGGAGACAAGAGTGGAAAAACAGTATAATGAATTACCCATTGTCAGAAACCGTTAGAGAATCATTCAAATGGAACCTTTCCTTCATTTTGACTTTATTAAGATATCTGTAAATACATTCAAAATATCTATCATTACCTATAAAACATGGCTGAAGAGACTGCATAATCTACATAGTTTACCTGAGAGTTAGTTTAAATTATAACAGCTTTGTAAAATCAGCTAAAACCACTGTAAAAAATGTGTACAATTTCATGTGATTACTCACACAGCTGGTCTTTCTTCTTCCCTTTAGTGGTTAGAAGCAACACTTGGCCATCTACCTCCAGTTGATCCAAGCATCCTCCACCGTAGTACCAATTGTAAGTCTACATATACAATCATGATTCATTATGGTGTTATTTTTCTAACTTGGCAGAAAATTTAAAATATCAACATATATAAAAACAGATCCATACTAAGTATATACACACATTCTTCAACATCTTGTTTATATTTTTAAGTATGTTACTATGATTGGCTGAGTACTTAATCACAAATCAAAGAAGTGTTAAAAAACTCCTTCTTTTCTAGCAGAGTTTAAATGATGTACATCATAGTTTTGAAATTAAAGAAATCATACTCTCTTTCCTCAGTTCAATATTTCAAATATTATACATTTTTGACTTCTTAACTATAGACTAGTAATGTTCATTGAATGATTTAGGGATAAAGCTGTTAGTATATTTAATGAACATGCAAGAATATGAATTATAGCAACATACTTCAAATCTAGTTAGACTGTACTGTCCTTTCATTTTTCTGCTCATTTCTGTCACTGTATTGAAACAAGAATATTTGTATACAATTAAGCATCAATGACATCAATCAACATATAAAAACAGACTGGGATATTTAATTATTTTCCTCATACAGATCTCATTAACAATTGTTTCATAACTGAAATCATCCTACCATCTTAACCACCACATCTTACCCCATCAAATTCTTCATCTGGATTTCTTGCAATTAGTTTCACATAATAAGCAGCATCATGTGAAACTGTGTGTACTTTTCTATTTGAAGAAATCAGATCTTGAAGACTTTCACAGAACATATTTTCTGGAACAACAGATTATTACACAAATATTCCTGAGTTAATTCCAATCAAACTAAAACTGACAACCCAATAAGGCAATTGTATGTCTGAAATTCATCCAAGTATGTATCAGTGAACTGCAGTACTTAGGTCCCAGCTGTATCTTCTAAGATCTGTTATCCACTTAATGCTACAGGGATTTTTATCTGTCTGGTATTCTTATACTGGGCTATAACCCAGCCCACAAATTTAGGAGCCAGAAAATATTTTACCCTTATTAGATTTTAATGACTAATACAAACACTTCAATGTGCTACCAATGAATGGAATAAATTACTTTTTAAAAGTCTCTATAAGCAGTAACAGAAATTCATGCACATTTGTCATAAAAATACCATTGTGATGTGAAATTGGTGACTACATTTCCACCATTTCCAGTTTGGTTTCTTGTAGCAGTGCACCTCTGTAGTTTTGAAACCAGAGTACCACTGGTCCACAACCTTTGCACATTCAAATTCAATCATTAATGGTTAATTCATGTTACAGCAAAATCTTTCTTTTAAGCAAGAAGAAGGTGGCTCCAGAAACCATGTAATTTCTGTTGGAAATACACAGCCAAATATGCACATCTGTTCAAATTTCAGAGATTTCTCTGCTAAAACAAGGACACTCCAAAGCTCTTTTTATAATTAAAGCCCTTCCTCCAACAAAATGTTGCTAAAGTGAAACCACATCCTTTTTCACTATGTAGGTGATCACAAATACAAAGTTTAAGAACTATCTATGTATTTCACTACATATTGTATTGGAAATATTATGCATGTACAAATAAGTATAAAGGTCACCTGTATGAAATTGCTTACGTTTCTTTTGCGTCTTGTAGTGACTTTTATGCACAGAAATTTTGTGTTTCCACAGGCATTTCTTTTTTACCAAAACTGTTGCTGGATCTTCACCTTCCAATACTGTAACATAACACATTTCATATATTACAATTGTAGGGGGGGGTGTTGTATTGGAGGCACCCTTTTCAGCAATAATCTTAAGTCAAGCTAACAAGATACCCTGTAGTTGGTGGGGAGAGAGCCAATTATAAAAGCTAAAAGATACCCTAAGAATTATAATGTATTTACATTCCATAGATTCTTCATTTGACATAAGTCAAGAATATATAAGATGTCACATAAATATAATGAATTCTTCTCGAGCTACCAGCCATGTCAGGTGGTTGAAAGGTGAAAACACCAGTATTTTAAGAGCCATCTTTGTCTTTGTCCTCAGGGTACTGAACTTCAGGATGATGATGGTTCACAAAATGTTGGTGTTTTCTCCTTTCAGGCTGGCTGGTAGCCAGAGAAGAATTTGTTATACTTTGTCACTATGAAACCTTCAGATCATAAATGTCACATAAACTTAATATAAGTGCAAATATAAATTATGAAGAAATAATTAACAGACTGTAATCATGTGTCTGACTATATTTTACATGTAATATTGTGTGCATATATGTGAACACACACATGTGTGCATGCATATTCTTATGCCTATGTATGATATATTAAGTGCATGGCATTTATGAGTACAGTTACTTACTAGGTATTTTTATCTGATAATGAGCATAATTTTAATGTAGTGTAATTTTGACATAAATATACTGTATAATTAGTAATAATATAATTACATATGTGATTAGGCCTGTTATATATTTTATTCTTGGGATACTGTATTTATTGTATTTCTAGGTATTTTCTAAATATGATGGACTGCAATCTGAGTGCTTACTAGGATCTATGGAATGCAGGAGGTTAGTATCTTTCAGAGCAATACATCAGCCAATGTTCCATATATATATGTGACAATAATACCTCCATACCTACACACCACCTTAACCATGGCACTATTTGGAGGTGAGTGATAACAAACATCACAGCCAAGTGGTTAACACCCTTGTTTCATATTAAGGAGGTTCCAGGCTCAAATCTTGGCCTGGACACAACTATCCTCATACATTTATTTTGGTTTTCCTCAGTCCCTCCAGACAAATGCCAATATAATACCTTAAATTAGGCTTTGACATTTTCATTCCACATCCTTTCCAAATCATTTGTTAATCATCCTATCATTTAACACTAAGTAGTATGAGCTGCTGACAACAAAACTAAATAAAACAGAAATAATAAATAAGTGGGGTGAATGCTATTTTCATGCCCAGGCTACCTTATTTCTGAGGAAAGACGCCTGATATCCATTGGATAGGAGGGATGGTATGCCCTAGAGATGGTCTGGATGGGATCAAGACAAAAAATACTGCCAAGTCTTGAATCAGATACTGGTCATTCAGCCCTTAGCCTAGTCACTATACTGACTAACATAACAAATGTGATGTGGGAAACATACTGACAGTTATTATGTGTTCATGTGATATCATACAACTGCACACTGAAGGCAAAAAATACACGTAAGTAGGAAATGCTGTTGAGTTGGCTTCATACTCAAAACCAAGTAGCAGAATGTATATTTAATCACCTTTCCTGGAAACCTTAGCTGGAGGCAGAAATGGCAGTGGATGCATACAGTTAAAAGGAAAGGCACGTAAGCTGCCTTCATGTTCCACTTCTATGTTATTATGTAGAATATGGCCTGGCATTCCATAATGGGGAAATTTATGCAAAGATACATAATCACATTTTTTTAGCACATCTCGATACAAGTCTACCATTTCAACACTTAATTATGTCTCTGAAAGGTGCAGTAAATTATTTCAATAATAAGTTTGCTAACATAACCTTAAAAAGAATCTAGAATTTCAGTACTTTACACACAAATAAAAATAAAATTGTCATTTTTTTCATGTTGCGTTCTATATATGTGTGTGTTAAAACTGTTCCATAATTAATAATGTGGGAACATGCACAATGTGAATTGTTGACTTGTGTATACCGCCGATCAACCAAGAACAAATCCAAAACAATACATCGTTTACACGCAGTGTTACAAACTGAATTGGGTAGAATCTTTGGTTCAAGGTTTAACAACCCACTGCCCGTGTATGTTATATTGTTCCGTTTATTGTGCGTATTGAAAAGCTGGTTTTGAATGTCGTGAAAACTTCAAATCATACATAGATAGAGTCGTTGTATGGGTTTAAGTAACACATTACTGTGCGAAGTTTCCGTGGCGAGAATACAAGGGATGTACTAGTTCTGGATTGTTTTGTTGGCTCAGGGGTGAGTGATAGTATCCGTGTAATGGATATGTGTTATCAACCCATTGCATAGATAATCTACGATGGTAACCACAAGTAATGCCAATATCTCCGGGTAAGTTCCTGTGGTACCTACCATTGCGCCCCAAACTGTTGCATGTGTAAGGCGTGACCACTTGAAAATACGATGCATGTCCTGTGTTTATAATTAAAATGAGCCGTGTTATTTTTGTGCGGATGATTTTGGGTCTGGTTGTGATTAGTGGTACGGTGGGGATTTGATAGTACAGGACCATGGGTCTGAAATCATTTCAGATTGTATTTGAGAACCCTACCCAAACCTACTACTCTGGCGAAACAGTATCTGGACGTGTTGTTTTGTCTCTCAACTCGTCAAAAAGTATTCGTGGTGGGTAAATTGCAAGCATGTGAATAAGTGTAAAAAGATGATACAGATTATTTTAGGAGCGTGAACAGCAATTTAGAGATAATTTGAAACTTTAATTGATGATAAAGTGTGAGTTATCTGTGGGGCCTAACCCCACCAGTAGAATATTTAAATGTTTTATCTTATCAGGATTGATGGATAGGTTCTGGCCCTACACCAGCTTTATACCATGTTTAGAACCCTTTGTATGAGCTCAGTGACAGTACTTGGGAATTTTCCGGTTATCATGAAGGCCAAGTCATCTGTATTAAGCCATGCAAGGAGTCTTTCCATTATCAGGCCCCATTGTAATGGGGATAGAATCCCACCTTGCAAATACCACAGATCAACAGGCACTCACCACCTGCAGCCTATTTGGGTTGTCACAATCTGCCACCTTCAAGCATGGCACTGATCCACCTTACCACACCTTGCTCCACCCCACACTCTTCACTTGTTTTGTATGCAGTCATAGGTTGTGTTAAATGCACCCTCAGTGTCTGGAAAATCTCCCAGAGCTATAAGACCGTATTTGAATGCCCTCTTTTAGACATAAAATAATTAATGAACTGACATCATTTCTTGTAACATTTGGATAACATCATACATATGTCTTAAAAATACAAATAGTTAATTTTCTCTATGCAGACTTGTTTTTCAAAAATAATATCATATTGAAACCAAGGAAGGTAAGTTCTAATTTGAATCTTTAATTACAGAATGAACTATATTCTGGGAACTGCTTCATGTTTTTTCTTTTCTTTTAATTTATTGTAGGTATTGTAATAAAATTTAAAGGTGAAGCAAATGTCCATTGGACTGAAAATGAGTCACGAAAAAATAGTGATGGAACTACTGAGGAACACACTGTATATTTTCAAGGAAATGAAAAGTATTTTGAAAGTAAATACCATTTGGTTGGTGGGCGTGGTAAGTATGTATTTGAGTGTTCTAAAATTATTACCTTTAGAATATAATATTTCTGAATCTGAATGTAAATGTGAGTACACACACAGGTATGTTGTTTTTCCATGGAATTGAGTAATATGTAAAACTCTTTGCAATAGTAGGTCTAATATAACCCCATGTGTTTCAGTAAATTTCCTTCATTTTAACCTTGCAACCTGTGAATTTATAATTATGAATGTTGCCCCAGGTCTGGAAACTGTTGAGAACCCTTGCCTGAATGAAGTTTATAATCGTATATAATATAAACTCCATGGAATGTTTCACATACACATCTTTATTAGGAATTCTTTATCAGTAGTCATATTAAACTGTTGCTGGAGTTCTGTCAGGATAACATTTGAGTGTTGAAGCATGTTAGTCAGAGGTTTAAATAGCTGTCTGGCATTCATGTCAGGATCAGCCATGCCATCTCACAGAACGGTTCATGATCTTGCTCTTCTCTTACCTGGACTGGGCCTAGCAAACAGCTTTTAGTGAGGAGAGAATGTTGATGTAGCTCTTGGTGGTGGGTCATGCAACTCTTGCCAGGTTGTGAAAGTTGTGTATGATAAAAATAACTTACTCGGTTACAAAATTCAATAATCAGGTAAATGATGTGAACATTAAGTTCGGAAGAAAATACAACTGAAATATAAATATGCTTGCTTTAGGAATTGAAGTTATTAAATAAGGAAATTATTTACAACAGGACATTTTAACATTGATCATATTTTGGGGAGACTTAACTCCTAAGATGATCATTCTGTGGGGAAAGTTATGTACTAACACTAAGATCATTTTGAGAGTTCATTGTGCTCTTATTTTGTTGCTCTGATTCCGTGTTTACAGCTGATGAAATGGTACTGCCAGAAGGAGAACACTGCTTTCCCTTCAGTACTGTCCTACCTCCAAAATTGCCATCATCTTTTGAAGGAGAATTTGGTCATATTCGATACACAGTCAAGGTTGTGGTTGATCGACCATGGAAATTTGACCATGAGATAAAATCAGCATTTACTGTAATCTCACCAGTTGATCTAAACACACATGAAACAGCAAAGGTTTGACTATACTAACTTTAGTTTATGGTGTGTAGTACTTTATCAGGAAAATCTTTCTATACTTTTGCTTCAGTTGTACATACTGCAAATAGTATGAAAAATAACAGTTTGGTTTGGAGGAGCAACTAACTAACTAACTAGATGGCTTACCGAACCCGAAGGTTCATCACCGAATTAACCAAAGCCCTCCACCGGACCCTGTCCTTCGACTCCTATCTCCCATAGATCCCGCCTGAGATTATCCTCCCATCTATGTCTAGGTCTCCCCAGCGGTCTCTTCCCCTCAGGTTTCCCAACCAGTCCCTGGTGCACACATCTTGTCCCATCCATGCACACTACATACCCTGCCCATCTCATTCTTCTCGACTTAATCACCCTGACAATACTGGGGGAGGAGTACAGATTTTTAAGCTCATTATTATGCAGTTTTATCTGTTAATGATCTGTAGCAATTCTCAGTTTTTCTTAGTACAAGCATACAGTAATTTTTATCCCAGAATCCTTCGATGCAAGAAGTGGAGAAACGCTTCTGTTGCTTATGCTGTGAATCCGGACCTCTTACCATGGCATTGTCACTGCCTGTCACAGGATATGTGCCAGGGCAAGATATACCAGTCACTATTGAGATTGACAATGCTAGTAATGTTTGTGTGACAGATGTAAAGTGCAAGCTCAAGAAGGTATGTGGTAAGGTTAGTCTGTCAGCATGTAACATAATTGTGTCTTAAAATAATTGCAGTTGAGTGTGGTTAAAGTGGTTATTTTGTTCGTTTTAATTAAATTTATTAACATGGAGTTAAATTGAAAGCATTGAATATGTAATTCATTTTTATGTTTTAGCTAATTACTTTCATTGCAACATCTCCATATGGAAGTTCCCGTGAAGAAGAGCTTACTGTTTCAGAAGTTATATTTGATTCAGTTCAACCAAGACACTCCAACACTGCAACACAAAAGATGACTGTTCCACCTTTACCACCATCTGACTTGGATAACTGTGAGATAATTGATCTTGCATATTACTTGAAGGTCAGTTTGGGGTTTCCTGTGTGCCCCCCTCCCCCAACACTAAATGAAATAACAGCTAGGTTGAACACCCATCACTGAAATGCCTTGCTCAAGAGACCAGCGTCTGAAAATTGTCAGCAGCCAAAGTGACAAAGCTGCTCAAACTTCTTCTGTATAAGACAGAAGTAGAGTTAAAGGGAAACATACAAAAAGAGATTTTGGAAGTTACCCAGGAAGAACTTTGGGTGAATTGCTGTCTATTTAAATGGTGTAAAGAGTGTGTTTGTACAGACACAGTGTTTTCAGCACATCTTATAATATAGCATAAGTTGATTTTATGGAGTTGTACTTGAGTCATATTGGGAAAACTTTGTAGTGCATGGTGGTGAATTATGCATTTCGTGGTGGGAACCTGGAAGTGATAGTTGTGTTTAACTTTGTCACTGGATGTACTGTATGACACAACATTTACATTGAGTTTGGTATATTTATGAAAGTATTCAGGCTAATTAAAATTGGTTAAAAGGAAATCTTTTGTAAGGTGTGTGTAGGTAAACATCTGATGCATTTCCTGTTCAGAATGGTCTGAAACAAGATATTTTTATCACCATTGCTTTTCAACTTTGCTTTAGAATATGTCATTAGGAATGTCCAAGAAAACAAAACTGGACATATCCACTACTTGGTCTGTGCTAATGGTGTTTGTAGAAGGTCCAGAAGTAAACACAGAAAACTAAGTATATGATCATGTCTTGTCACCTGACTACAGGACAAAATTATAATATAGATAAATAATAAATCATTTGACAGTGTGGCAAAGTTCAGATGTTTGGGAGCTAATTTGACAAATCAGAATTTAATTCGCAAAGAAATTGAGAGCAGATTTCATTCGGGGAATGCATGGTACCATGCAGTTGAGAATCTTTTGTCTTCTCGTTTGCTACCTATAAAATTAAAATATATAAAACTAAATTTTACTCTTCAGTTTGTATGGGTGAAATTTGGTCTGTCATATTAAGGGAAATTATTTTAGGGTGCTGATTTTAGTATTTGAACCTAAGAGGGGGTGACAAGAGACGAGTAAATTTCATGAGGAGGAGCATCATAATTCATGCTGTTCACCACATAGTAAGATGATGAAATCAAGGAAGATGAGATGGGCAGGGCATGTATCAGGGAGATGATAAATGCATATCAGATTTTGGTTGAAATGCCTGGAGGGAAGACACCTCTTGGAAGACCTAAGTATAGATGGGAAGATAATATTAGAATGGTTTTTTAAGGAAACTGGGTGGAAGGGAGTGATTTGGATTCATTTGACTTAGGATAGGGTTTGTCGGTGAGCTCTTGTGAACTAGATTCCTACCTTACAGGTAGTTGCAGAGGTAAGTGGTTGTCATAATGCCCTGAAAACAAGTGCACCAATCATCATTGGAACAATTCCATTGACTTCATATCAACCAGTCTTTACTCCAATGCCAATGGAAGGTGGTAATGTGAGTGGTGGTATTGGGTGGACTGTTCCGTCCTTGGGTTCAGAGGCTCAGTCACCATATGTGCAACCCAGTATACGACCTCAAGGAGAACCAGACTGTGTACCTAGTGCACCACCGCCTGATGGAGGAGAAAAATACAAGCAGCCACATACGCCATTTCATGGATCCACATCATTATCTTATCCAGATATTCGTATGTATAAATCACTGAAAATTATGTTCTTAATGTTGTGTGCAAGTATTGTTACAGTATCAGTGTGTATTAAAGGATGCAAAAATGTTCCAATGAACATATTTTGCATCCCTTATTTTAGTGTTTGTTTATTTCAGGTATAAATTTCGTAACAGATAAACTAACCTTTAAGGGCTCAAATTATGTTTTGAGTTTACAGTTTCAGAAGTTTCACAACCCTTGCCTCTAATACAGCAGTATGAGCAGTCATAATTTCTGTTGTAGACAGTATGCATGTAATTTATACATATTACCTAGTATTGTTAGGATAATGAGACCAGGAAGAGGGAACCAAAAAAAAAAATGTCTACTTGGATGACTAAGCAGGATAATGTAAAGACGGGTCGTAGGGAGACAGGTTGAAGAGAATTGAAGGTGAACAGAAGTGGCTCAGAATCATGTCCAATGTCAAGTTTTGTTATAGCAGTACTGAATCCTCAGGTTCTGCTCCCACAGTAGCATGTAGGTATTTCAGTATTATATATAATTTTGCTTGTATATAGATTCATTTTGTGCAGCATGCCTCAATATTTAATGGATGCAATTGATATATCTGCCACTTTTATCATATAGAGTACTGGAATAAAGAAAAAAATCTATCTGTATAATCATGTCCAATCACCAAAAGGGGAATAAAACCAGCTCCTGAAACATTTTGCATATTACATGTACTTAAGATTCATTATTAAGTATGACTCTTTTTCTTTACATCTGCAGCTCCACCGACATTCACTGAGAGTTTCTTTGGCCCTCAGAACATTCAAGATGCTGAAGATAGCCAGTACATTCAGGGAAACTTAAATTATGTTCCTAAATACCCAGTGTACAATTTTGTAAGCAAGTGAATTGCTTAAAAGGGGAGACATGTTTATTACTTAGAATTGACAGGTAATTAACTCAAAGTATATGTTTCACTTAGTGATCTTTGTTCTTGTAGCAGTGCAATCAGACCATTGACAGTTTTAATTTGCATATTTATAATATTGATACAAAGGCTGTTTCAAACATCACACATGCTTAACACTATGCCAGTCCTGCTTACATTGAAACTGTCTGAACCTCTTTGACTGTGCTTTAAGGAGCCCTGCAAATAATATATTAAATGAATGTGTCATGTTAAATGTACAGCTTTCAAAAATTGTATTTATCTTGAATGCCATAGAAGGTATATTATCACTTTAAAAATTTTGACAGAATATTTGCAAAGTACTAAAGTTGTAATTTATATATTCACCTGAACTTTGACATGTTATTGTTTGCCTTATCTGTTTAGTGGAAATAGAGGGACAAATTTAAGTAAAAGAAACTGTGCAAATTTTGATCTAAGCATCGAGTTAATTTCTTGTCATAAGTTGAATCAGGGCTATCATATTTCCAGTGGATGGAATCCTTGGGATTGGGAAAGCACTGTTTTTTGTGTGTTGCTTATGTTGGGATGCAATTTTCATTCAACAAAAATGTACATGCATTTTCATTCAGAACAAGAATATGTATGTATTTTCAGAAATATTGGTAAGGTATGTAGATATACAGGGTATGTGTTATTATTTACGTACACAAGAGGATGAAAACTTTTAGGATAATCCCAATAACCATAGTTTGGCTTATGTAAAGTGATTCCAATTCCATTATAACATAGAATTAAAACTGAAGCCAAATTATTATTCCTGGTTTTTGTATTATCTATCAAATGAAACTAACACAAATTTAAACATGGGGAAGACTGAAAATTTTAATTTGGAAAGAGTTGATTGTGAATGGTTTGTATTGCACTCCAACATGATAAAGTCTCTTCTTATGCCATATCAGTTCTAAGTCTAATTTGGATATCTGGCCAGTCTGATAAAAATAAATTAATTTTATAATGTTTTAAAATGTTCATAGAGATTAATATGACTATGTTTTTATTAAATGGTTGTGAATGCTATGTTGACAAGAGTTAATTATTTTTTAAAGAGAGCTACCACAATATTTATATTGTTAGTAGTTGAGATTCGTAAACTTAAAATACTCTCATTGTAATACTTCACACCAGTCATATGTAGAAGTGACCTGTTCCCAAAGCCCATCCTGTTATTACTCAGGAAAATGAATATCTAACTCAGATCCATGTATTTTAGTGAAAACTCTAACACACTGTAATTGTATTGAAGAATGCTAACTTTTGTAAACAGTTGCTGAAAGACATATGTTATGTATATTATTAATACAAATTGTCAGCTTACTTTGAAAACGGTCTGGTGTCTGTGTTTAAATACCATGTACCTGCTGTCAATAATAGTGCCCTCAGCATCCAATTTAGAAATCTTGTATTCCAGCATTGCAAACTGTAGTTCTCTTATAGTCTTTAGCTGGTTATAGTACTTAACACACAGCAGAATGCAACACCCATGCCCCTAGTAACTGGCAGTTTCATTTAACACACCAAAACAGACCAAACCTGTAACATGATGCTTATAAGGAAACAAAAGAAATCAACCAACTGCCATCTATGCATATCTTTATTGCTGCATTCAGAACCTAATTATGAGGACTTAATACTACATCTCATGGTTCATAATATGCAGGGATAAAATTAAAGGCAAATAATTTTAATATTGCACCTTCAGCAGAGAATACAGTGTTTTTATACTATATAAAAACAAGTCCTTACAGGAACTAAAACCTACAAGAATCTCTGCTTACATATTTGTATATGATACTTCTGACATAATTTTAGGTTAAAATAGCATTCTGAAACAAAGTAAACATTAGAAAAGATACTACAACAACTCAGATAATAAGTAAGACATCATTTCTATAAATGTAATTGGATATGGACAGTAAGTGGTTATTTAATGTGTGTAATAGTATTCATTACCATTGTATAAGTGTCTAAATAGATAAGTAATCTCCCATATTTGAGGAGGCCAAGGTCCATCAAGGACTCTAGAACCACAGATAAAAATAAGTGACTTTAATCAGTTACTATCTTTTAATTATGTCTAGTTATTTTAACACACAATATGAAATGACACAACTGATTTTATATAACAATGTCTCAACAAAGGTAACTATATAATGCAATTTTCAAGATCAATACAAAATATTATGATGACTATATGTAGTTAAAACATGCCATGCTTAATGGTATGTCATAAAACTGGCAAACAGAAAGAAAAATTTGTTAAGTTAGTAATAAAGACTGACTGAAAATCAAACTAGTGAATTCAGATTCACAACAGGATGCTTACATACAATGTAATTCTTATTTCCTTACCAACAAAGTAAGCTATTTTTAATTTTGTTTATTGCATGTTATGGCTATAAAAAGTATGCTTTAATCCATATGCATAAGAGTAGTTGTTAGTGTGTGTTTGTTTTAAGTAACAGTTGTAACAAACTGTACAAACATGGAAGGACATCAAACTTCATAACCAATCATATTGACAAAATTCTTAAATTTGTATCAGGTACTTATGTTTACTTAAGGTAAATCCATAAATGACAGTGAATATTTACTTTCAATTCTTGAAACTCCTGAACAAAATAATTTGGTTTTCTGCTTGTTTTAAACAAGATGTATATACCAAATGAACTGATTTCTTTTCATTTTATGAAATTTAGGCTAATGCATTAATAACAATGTGTGAAAAATTATGACTACAGGTAGCTGTTAAGCAGTAGAAAATCTGTGTACGTTCAGGACTAAATCTGATTTTAAAATATTGGTCATGCCCATAATTGCATTTACATTCAAAGGGATTAGAGTATAATGCATACAAAGTATGAAAGTGATTAAGAAACAGGGGTATATCAATAAATAAAGATACATAGTCACATTTTATAAGATATTAAATTATCATCAAAGTTATTACTTATTGTTGCTATAAAATATTCAAGTCTTAATCTTGTGAACAAACTGTATCATTTGTTTATGTGTAGAACTTGTCCCATTTTCCAGGTATTTGGAGGACACTTACTGATGACATTTTTAGGACAGGGCAGAAGTAAACAAGTGATGGATATGTTGGTAAAAAGAATGGGCTATGAACTAACAAGGAGATAATGTATTAGGTATGTGTTGCCTGTCAGTGGTCAATGCTCTTTCTGGTAATACCATATTGTACATCTAATGTGACTATGAATTTATTGCCATTTAGCTTCTTGAACAGCAACATCACCTGTGGTAGCATTTCAATCTTAATATTAAAATAAAGTTTTCAGTGTGCAATATTTTCAAAATAGTACTATTTGGCAGGGGGGGAGGGGTTTTGTTAATGTAACACATTGAATTTTTATAGGTAGAATTCTTCTGAAAATTATGTTAAAATATTGTCTATGCCACATGCAGTACTAAAATTAAGTTATAAAACTCACTTTAGTAGCTGCACATTTAGACTAAAACTACGACCTTCTGGGTTGTAGTAGCACCATGTAATCTGGTAGTTTACCAGTGTTTCAGAAGTCCTTGCAGCCTCCATCATCAGAGTGACCAGACTACATTTTGCTACAACCCAGAAGACAGCCATCTTCAGACTCACTGCCATGAAAACCTCATATTCCACCATTAAGCCTGTTACAAAGTTGTTGAATACTTATCAGTGCCCTATAAGTTGCTTTGTTTATGTTGTAACATAAAGAAATAAATTAATATTTTGTAATTTAATTCAGTTAAAATAATTTGCAACTAGAAACATTAATACTTGGGTTTAGGTGCCAAAACACTGGCTTGAATTTTTGTAGAAACCTGAAGATATTCATATATGTCCCGATATAGCTTTGTCTGTCACAGATCCCATGGACTGACCTAGAGTTATGCTAGTCTCAAGGAAGTAATAAAGCCAGTTGTTTCAACTGTTTGTTAGCTGGGATTTGTTATTAACTGGTACACAACATGTTTTGATTCATATGGGCCATCATTACTGGCTCTTTTATACCTGTTCTAACTACTGACCATGTGGATAAAATTTACATGTACAGTAGTAGTAACATATCGCTAAGCTTCATCGACTGTTTCAGATACACATGGATTGGCCAGTTGGTTGAGGTATGGGGAGGGAGGGGAAGACGACCAAGTGACAGTGCATATGGAAAGATAACCCAGTCCTTCATTGTACAATGTTTAGTCTGTATAAGTAGTGCATGTAGTAGTGTTTTACAATTTGTTTGGTTCACAAAATACAGTGTAGTGTAATAGTCATTGTATCCACCAATTTTGTCATAATTCAATGGAAAGAAATTACACTCACACAAGAAGTTACTATTAATGACTTTCATGGAAGCTGAGGTGAGAAATTAGGAACCATCCATTCTGACTGAGAAAGCACAGTTGGAATAGCCAAAGCAACAAGCAAGAGGAGTGTCTTGTGCTACAGTGCAGGGGGGGAAAAAGAAAGAAAGAAAGGCAAACAGGCTAGATCAGTGAAATCAACTTTTTTTTCATTGATGGCACACGCAACACATTCCATATTTTATGGCACCCCTGCATGTCCATAATTTGTTTTCTGGAGAAAACACTTGGTAGCCCTAAACTGATTTACATAATACAATGGTGCCCTTGAGGAATAAGTTAAACGTTTAACTTAAAAATTGGCATGTTTAAATTTCTGTGGCACCGCAGGCTGCTGTAATACCCTTGTTGGGAGCTACTAGGCTAGATGTAGAAGGAATCTCATTTTTGACACCTGACAGAAAACTGTGAAATACAATCTAGATGGACTTGATGAAGCTGTAGTTCATAGAACTGTTCATAACTTATGTATTAATAAAAAATGTGTTCCTGCTATTTAAACTTCTCTGTGGAAGCTAAAAGATGACATGAAGTTTCTAGGCTGCATTACCACATTAAGAATACTACTAAAGCAAATGGGTTTTAGGTGGCAGAAAACTACATCACAGCACCTTCTTTTGTTTCAGAAGAAGGACATTCATGACAAGAAGTGTCTAACTTCTGCACAGCAATTCAGGAATAGAAACCATGGCATAATATTTAAAGATGAGTCTTATGTTTTATCTTTACATGTTCAACAGAAGTCCTGGAGTGACAAATCTTTGAATGGATTCCTTACACCTGTATCTAAAGGACATTTCATTATGATTCTTGCCGGGGGTGAGAACAGTTACATCCCTAATGCTCTTGTATCAACTCATCAGGCTGCAGGAGATTATAAACATGAATCAGACTAGTTACAAGAAATGGTTGAAGGAAAAACTTGTACAAAACCTCCCTGCTGAAAGTTGTGCGATAGATAATGTGCCACAACATAAAATTAAATTACTCCATCGTCCACCTCTATGAAAAATGAAATGCTGCAGCAGTTACAAACCAGCATATTAGCTGATGACATGCTAAAACCTACAATGCATTGGCTCATTAAGCAGTACGAGCCCCAGCAAGTACCATACTCCATGGGTAAAATAGTGGAAAATCACGGACACACAACACTCTATCTGCCACCATCTTGAACCCAATTGAAAATATGTAGGCAAAAGTTAAGGAACAAGTTGCAGCAAGAAATTTTACTTTTAATATGAAATATGTGAAGCACCTGTGTGACAAAATATTTCACAGTATGTGTGTAGAAGGCTGGAAGCTACTACGTGAACACATGAATTTGTTGAATGAGTATTATTACAAGGATGCTTGTTTTGACACTGCAGTCGACCCCATCTTATCAGTTTCAGAGGTTTGGAGAATGACAACAGTGACAGCGATAAAGGAGATGACAGCACAGACACACTGGGTGAGGAAATGGGTGGCATTGCATTACTTACAGGGAGCAGTGGATGAGAATGGTGAGTGGTTACAGTTTCCAATTATACTGTGCATATTCAGACTCTTTGCTGTCTTCCTCCTCTTTCTCTTACTGTGATGTAGCTCAGGCTCAGAAATATTTTGCATCTATTGTAGTGGAGAATTTGTCAGAACTATAACAAACTTGTTTGAAAATAATGGCCTTTAAGATTGCCAACAACATACAAAAAATCTTACAAGCAAGGCCTCAAAATCTGGATTGTGCAGTTATATATAACGCATACCCTTGACGAACGTAAAACCGCACGAGTGTAGACATGGCTTAACACTATCATTTCCATTAGGAACACCACCAAAGAGATCAGTAATATGAACTGGACACCTACAGTGACACAGATCATTAAAACAGGGTAAAGAGGTAATTAAGTGCAAAAAAATCCAACAGACTTTGCCAGTTATAACTGAATATGTCTACTAATGCCTCATCCAAAAAATCCTTGGCAACAGCAGACAGCATCTATTAAACCTGAAATCCATTAAATCAGTAGTATGTTTATGAACTGATATCATCATGCAGTGTATAGATGAGTCATCTGATACTGATGCGCTTTACAGCATCCCTCATGATTGAAAGTCTCTTGCTATCAGTCAGCATTTCACATTGAACCTGCCTTTCTATTTTTTCAAATCGAACCTTATCAGTGAATATCTTTGGAAACTGAGCTCCGATGTACTGTAAAGTAAGCTTTTGTATGAGTCGAAGAGATTCTGGCAATGTAAGATCAATATCTATTAAAAGAGGAACATTCCTTATAGTACCACATACTTCAACAGGACTGGCAAGTTTATTTCTTGCTATATGGCAACAGAATCTGTCTTCTATAAAATTCCTTGTAATATAAAATATAAGTACAGTGCTCCTCTCAATAACATCTTCAAACACAGTAAACTGGTCAGCTCCCAGGTACACAGAGTTCCATACAAGATGGCCTATGAGTTCAAACTGGTTACTCAAGTTTTCTGTTAATTTTTCTGCTTCACACAAATCACTTTCTGAACTTATCATACAAAAATCATATTGATCCTTCACTTCAAATGGACATGATTCTTGCAGTTTGGTTTCTATTTTTCTTTGAATGGTGGAAAGGTGAGCATGGTCAATATTAATACTTTCTTGAGCAATAACTGCCTCCACAGTGCTGTACAGCTGTTGTCCAGGCCAAGTAGCAAGTGGAATAGGTTCAGTTGTGTTGTCACATTCTCTGCCCTGTCTGATGGACATTCGCTTAAAATGCCACTCCATAAGCTTATTTCTTGTATGATACATGCATTCCTTCCTTCTTTGACTCTTAAAACATGAGAATAATCTTTGTAATAATGATGTATCTTTGTGTCTTTCATAATTCATAATTGCACATTTTCCTGTTTCACTGGTCATGCTATCATTTTAGTGTATGAATAATGTGATCTGAAATATAAAGATAAACATGATGTAACAATATCCCTTCCCCTCTGAAAGGAAACCATTTGCTTTGTAAGTTCCAAACATTTATTAATGACACCACATAATCAGCCTAATCTCTGTATTTGGTATTCATCTTTCCATTTTGTAGGTTACTTAATCTGCAAAAGCTATAGTGTAGAATATTTACATTGATATTGCATGGAAGGAAGGGAATTGAGAATACTAAACATGCAGCATGTACAGAAGAATGTCATCAGTAATTTAAAGAGTAGAAACAACATACTTACATGGCCAACAGCAGAATATAGGTGATCTTTATAACAAGCACTCATTGAACAATTTGTGTAAAGCATGCCCTCTGCTAAGGGGTGCTTGCCATGAAAGTCATTGACAGTACAGCCAGCATTATTACTTCAGTTTTTAATCATAATTATGACTCCACATTATATATAAACAGTAATGCAAAAGAATGCTACATATATCCTCCAGTTTCATCACTAGAAAATGAAATCAAGACAAAAGCTTAAAATCATTAGCAGAAAGCTAATCCAGTCTGTTATGTTCCATTTTTTCCTGTAGGTACTTAATATCTGAAATCACATACTGCCAAGACATATAGATATGCATTGTTAATTAATGGCTCTGCACAGCTGATTTTAGAGAGTAAAAATAGAAGTATGAATCTGACACACACTGTATAGTATACTAGTAATACTAATAAATAACTGAGGTATTCCCTCTAAAATAGTGAGAAAACAGAAATGTACTCTTCACATCTATTATTGAACATGGCATTCCATTCCAATAACATGAAATGGTCCTGCTATCTGATCTCCCATGCATAGTAAATATAAGTTACCAGAGCTGCTAAATACCCTGTTGTAAAAGGCTTGGCAAAGGAATTTGGCTACCAACATCCATTTTACTTTTAAAGGATAAACCATATGTCTTAGACATCAACAAATTAATACTTTTAACTATGAAGTACATTTGTGGGGCTTGTTTGATACTCAGAATAAATTATTAGTTTTTTTAACTGCTTATAAACAAAGAGCAAAATTTAGAAGTATTACTTGGATGAGGGTTATCTTGTAAGTATTCACAGTTTGTCAAACATGAGTACTATAAAAATTGTATGATATCACAATTAAGTTACGCTTGATTTTAGTTGAAGTAAAATTACTCCATGCTTCAACACCTTCAGTAATTAATTTTATTGTAAAATAAATTGAGCTATGTCTGAAAGTAAATGATGGCAAAGATAATTTTTCTTTGAATATCTGGAAGAATTCTCAGAAACATGCATGCCTTCTACAGGATTTGAACTTTAACCCCAGCACTTGCTTGGTCTTAAATTGTCTGGCTCTCCAATATTATAACCACAGTGGAGTTTAATGTTTATAGCTGTACTACCTGAATGACCAATGGACCTAAAAAGGAGTATCTTATGGATCACTTGAAACTGAAATTAAGTAGATTTAGCCTAGCCTAAAAATAGGGAGGGGGATCAAGTTTAGATATGTATTCTATTCAAAAAATGCCTCAGGAAAGAAGCTAGTTTTAATTCTGTCTACTTCTTCTTAGACTGAGGAACATAGAAACAACTGCTCATCTTGAAATCAGGTCCTCTATACAGTGACTAAAATAAAACGCAACTGCTAGCGCAACATTTTTTGTCAACAAGGCAAGAGGCATGTATGAGGATAGTCATCAGTAACTGGAATTATTATATCAAGTTTTAGATCTCATTTATTTTATGCAGATTTCATTCAGTATTAGGTTAAGTTGTCTTTTTTTTAATCAACTGGTAACATTCATGTATGTTGCAGATAGCATATGATGAGAAGATCAGGGAATAGGGATTCTTGTTTTATGTTTCTTAGACCCAAAACAAATATAATGTTACTGAACTTAAAATTAAATTTTCACCTGACCAATAGTAATGTCACTGAATTTGGATTTGTTAGAGAAATAAAAAAATATGACCAAATTTGAGAAAAATGGGTTGAAACATTTCTAGCACAATTTACAAATAGTGGTTAATAGTGCAATTATCACATAAAAGTACTGTGCAAGCAAAAGGGGCATAAGAAACTAGTTGCCATATTGTAAAGTTAAACAGAATATTTTTATCAATCTCCATTCTTTGTTTCCAAAGTGTCATCATCAGATTCATTATTAAGATGACAATATCTTTCTTCTGTTCTATTGACATGTACATTCAGTTCAATCCGAGGCCCTACATGTATATTTGATGAACTCGATATGTTGACTCCATTAGAACTATTACTCTGAGAAGGCTGTGTGTCTAAATTATGCGTATGATCATATGGAAAGCTATTTTTACAACTTTCAGATACAAGCTTGTGTATTATATTCTTTGCTTCCTCTTCCACAGACAGAGATGTCAACATCTGTTTTAGATGTGGTACTTCACTATCAGATGGATATATTTCAAGTTCTTGTCTTGTACCTTCTTCACTTAAGGGTAGCTGAGTTCTCATACTTAAATCCTTGCCTTGTCTAATAACAGAGTCTTTTGTCTCTTTATAATACTGGGCCACATATTCACACAATTCTTTATAAAGGGCATATCTTTTCCTCTTTGCTTCTGCCTCCTTCAACACACGAACTTTACGTATCATGTTAGTAAATGTTGCTAGCACACGTCTGCGCATATGATCTGGAAGGGTAGGATCCAAACCAGATATACCTGATAGAGCTAAACCCAGTTTGTGACTTCCATTTGGAAATATAGGAACACATTTATCTTTATCTTTGCACATTCGTTCCCAAAGTTGTTGGTAGACAGCACCATTTTGCACACGGCAATGAACATTGTCCTTTTTGTAATTTTCAGTGTGGTAAAAGAATACTTTAGTACTCCGTTTCATCATTGCTTCATACTGATCAAAGATATCTTCTCCTAAATGTGCAATATCATCATCAAACAACATACAACCTATCAAATTATATTCCCTGCAAAATTCTGATCTAAATATTGCGGCTTCCTCATAATCTGCATCACAAGTTATAAGGCAGAAATCATAATATGTAGCTGGACATATCCTATTTAGGTGTATTTCAACATCATTTTCTATCAAGGCTATTTCACCTGCAGTTAATCCTGAGTACACACTGATTTCTGCTGGAAATAAATCTGAACTTGTACATGAGCCACTACACACATAATTTTCATAGGCACCACAAGCATGTATGTTCAATGTGTTTGAAGTTTCTGAATTTGTGGTCAGTGCTTGTGCATTCTCAGACACTTCAATGTGCAATATAGACTGAGAGGATTCACCTGTCAAACATATTTCCTCAGATTTTATATCTGCTTCATTACATGCAATTCCTGGTTTAATACTTCTACTTGAGTCACCTGCAGATACTAATTTGCATGTAGAAGTATATCCAGAATGATCCAAATGCAATTCTTGCTGATTTTCTTGCCCTTCCATTGCCTCACTTTTTACAGTTTCCTGAAAATCTAAATGCATGACAGATTCGGTCTCATGTGGGCTGACAGGAAATTCATTTATTTCGGCTATATTTGTAGATTCGGTCCTATTAGTTCTTTTCTGAAGGCGCTTACTAAACCATCTGAAGAATCTACTTCCCATTTTAGCATGGTAACCATGAAACTGATACTGTGAAATGATCGTCCCTGCAAGTCAAACCTAGCATTAGTACAACCGCTTTCACTTTACAACGATAAAATGACATTCGATTATCAAGAAAAACTAACCTTATAAGATTTTTCGATTTTACCCTGTTATCTCAAATCAGTGAGCACGACACAAGTACCTTTGTGTTTATTTTTTGCTTACATTTCACTTACAAATATTTCATCCACATAATTAACAACGTAATAAACGTGTTATCTGTGACCGCTGTCGTTTTATCATATATCACCACATATATTACTCATTCCATTCATGGTCTCATGTAATTGGCTATTATTTTATTTTAAATGGCTAACCATTTGCGCACTTCAGCGGCGAATTTGTAACCAAGTTTGAACATCCGCTTAGAATATTTGTGGAAACTTTACATCATAAAATAAGGGTTCATGGAATTTTAGTGCTTCTCGTTTCTACACAAACTTTAATAATAGTGATTTTCAAAATATCCATGGTATCGGCTGTGCCATTACTGCACTCATTTACCGTAAAAATCTGAGGCTGTAATCATACTTATTCAATGGGTAACTAAAAATGGTTGGTACTTGGGTTAGTATTATCTGTGATTACAATTTCTTCTATTGTTCTAGTATGCGTTCTGAAACATTGTCGAATAAATTCTGCCAACATTTCATTTGGAGTCACATGACGGACAGGATATGACGACTTTTCAAAAAAATATCCCGTAATTTAAGAACACGACAGGGTTGACTCAATGTTGTGATACTATTACGATTTATTTAAATAGCATGTGTGTTCAGGAATGTGAGAAGCCATTGGAAGTTTGTGAATGCTGTGGAAAAATATGCTGTGAACATTTTACCATAGGTAATAGAATGACAATTTGGTTAGACTGTTATATTACGCATCAGGTGACATAACCATGTATATTAATAAGGTCAAATCTGTTAAGAATTTGTGCCTTTAAAAATTTCTCCGTGAACTTTCTTGTTCCAAAAATGCCCTTATCTTTTAACAGGACTGGTTAAATGGAGAATAATCCTGGAGACAGTAGCTCTGAATCTGATGTATCAGATCCTTGGTCAATAATTTACAATGATTCATGTGAAGTAGAAGACATACCAGTTTATAGCAATGTTAAAGACAGAGATAGTCTTAGTGGGGAGCCTAGTGATGGGGAATCACTTGAAGTTATTGATGAAGAAGAAAACCATGACGATGAATGTAAGTAAAATTAAGTTATTAATCATGAATTTTTGTTGTTACTTTGCAGCTTGTATTCTATTATTATTCTTTTTTTTACAGTTAGAAATGTTGACATGGAGACAGATGGCATTTCTGTCATAACTGAAAGTGAAGGTGATGAATTGGATCAGCCTCTGCCTTTGGCTGTGTCCAAGGAAAAGAAGTATCTGCACCACCCAAATACATACCTAAACACTCGCCTCAATGTTCTGTTAGCGGTTTCATTTGCAGCTGTAACTGGTCTTGGTTTGGGACACTTTCTAGGTAATTTCACTCCTTATGTTGATAGGCTGTATGGGAAGCTTTAGTTGTAAGGTCTTGTGCACTGGTAATTTTTATGATTTCATGAAATAATTGTTTGTGCTAGAGTAACAATGATAAACTATGTTGTTGGTAAACACTGATGGTTGACCAACACTGGTGACAGAAAAGGTCTCTGAAATGTTGGACTTCTCCACTTAATTGGTGTGGCTGATAATGAGAGAGGATTTTATCACTTTAAGTAACTGAGGATCATTACAGTACAGAGTAATTATGCAGGGCGAAAGTTATTGCCTTAAAGAAATGAGCACATAACATCTGCCATTTGTTCCTGATATCTGCTTTCTGATGTTCTGTGATTCAATTATTGTTTCCTTAAAAACCTTTCATTTGGTACTCTCCTGTCTTGTGTTTTTGTGTTGGTGCTAGGCAAGCATAAGCTTATGTTATTGCTTGATGGTCATTTAATGCATGGACTCTCTTATGGCTTCATGACTGTTTATTTCATGAAGTTATCAGTATGAGGCATCATGGTAGCAAGTAAATGGAACATTGATTATTAGAAGTATATAGCATTACACTGACATCTCTAGTCCACTTTGGACTAATTCATTGTCAGTCATTCTCTCATATCCATGTTAGTTTTTATTTACAATGAACCACTGATTTACATTATATTTGTTGCATCTTTCAGTGTCATTTTTTAATGACTTAAAAATTATCTTCAGCAATCAAAAATATTAGGCAGTATTTTTTGGAACAATCTGTTGTTTTACTCTTGACTCTCTTCCCCTCCCCCAAGTTGTAGAAATGTTATAAATAGCATCTTTAATTATTAGTGACTACCAAAATAAAAGGGGATTCTTTTCTTCCATAATCAGGTTCATCATCAAGACCTTCCTATACAGTTGTTTAATGATTGCAGTTACACACTAGGTTATGCAAAGGATGTAACATGTGGTGGGAGATAAAGGACAGTTATGTCACCATTTTCTGCTGTTAAAAATTGTTGACATGTGCAGATTTTTACTTTCCTATGGTGGCTATTTTTAATGTCATCCTCCGAAGTGTTAGAACAGCACAAAATTATAATTCTGTCTTTGCTGACCTTGTTTCTGGGAGCATTTATTTTTGACAGGGATGCTTATGTATGAGTAAGCATTGTTTTCCAATAAAATCCTGATTTATCCACATTGTAGATTTGTTCCAGAACAAGACCCTTAATTATTTTTGCCAACTCATTACAGAACAAGGTTGCTGCAACATTGTTAGCAATGAGTTTTTCACCTTGTATGTATACCCCTTTTATGCCATGCCTCACTTTAAACCATTTTAACCAATCAGAAGGAAATTAAAATGTTCCAGGAAATTCTAAATAAAAAAATATGTTTACTTATTTAGAATCATTGATCCAAATAGTTGAATTCCTTCGGCTGTTGTTGAAGGAACCTCTATATCATGACAAAACCAAGTGGCTCATCTGTTGCCTCTTTTATTTATTTTCTACGAGAAACTCCAACAAATGTCTCACTATACTTGACAGGTAATTGGACCACAGATAATCAGTGTTTTATTGTATATTCATAAGTATAATAAATTCTTCTAGGGCTACCATGCTTAATGGAGCTACCTTATACGGCTGGTAGCTCTAGAATAATGTGTGAAAGCTTCAGATTATGTATATTCATGAGGTTTTCATAATAAATTAAGTACAAATTTAAAGGAAAAGTTGTTACTGCACAATGCAAATGCAGATGTATGGTTGAGTGGAGGTATAGCTGCATGCATTCATAACCTCAGGCTAGGTGATGATGGGTGATTATATTCATGTGCCATCCACTGTACCTCCAAGGAAAGAACCCTAATACCTACTGGATAGGAGGCTGGTTGGGCCCCCATAACCAGTCTGGATGTTGTGAAGAGAGAAATCCTGCCTTCATCATCCAGCCAGTAATCTAGTTATACTGGCAGATCTAGCTCAGATCCTCATACATAATAAGTAAGCAATTTAATTTCTATTTAATTCAATGCGCATCTTGGGTGAATGGACATTTATGGTGACTGTTTTTGGTCAGTGGCAATATACATTCACAAGATTTTGATGATTTTATTTGGTCATTGGGGAAAATAATTTTCATTATTTTAGTACAGTTTATTTTAAGAAAACATGGGAAAGGAATGAGTGCTTTTTCTAGTTATAAATAAGCAGCAGCACCTGTCTGCGTGGCCCTACCTCTTACTAAAAAACTGTCATGCTCCTCAGTCTACAAGTAGACCATCTTCAGGCATTTGCAACAAGTTAAATGAATATAAATTGCAGCATTACTTAAGTTTTTTTACTTAAAACCTTCCTTATTTTTATGTGTTATATTTATCCCAAGTTGTCATATTTTTTGTCTTACTAGTGAAAGTGTTCAGGGTGTCACTATCTTATATGATCAGGTTTATGGTCATCTGTTTATAATCACATAATATACTGATGTATAACTTGCCGATTGCAGGGTTGCAAGAGGAATGCCCCTTGCTGAATGAATCAACTACCATGCTACTCACAAAATTACAGTGTGATAACCAGTTGCTTCGGTATAACATTGAAAAGCTTCTAAGTGAGAAAGATGCTTCATCTCAGTCATTCAAAGATATTCAGTCTTGGGAATGTGCAGCAGGTAAAGAGTTTAGAGATGAAGGTATGTTACATTTGCTCCCATCTTTCCAAACAGGCAATCTTAAACAGCCCTTAAACCCAGAAATGATTAGTCTCCATGGGAATACAATAAGCACTCAGCAACACACATCAGAAAATGGAAATCAGTATGAGGATGAAGTCAAGAATATTTCAGAGCAATATTCTCAGGGAAACATGAGAAGAGTTCCATTTGATGAAAGTTCAGAAAACAAAACACCAATAAAATATGAAGATGAAAATGTAAAACTACCATCTGGTATGAAAGCAGGAAGTGTTCCTTTTGACTCTAGTTCAGGATATGTTACAGTAGCAGATCATGAAGATGAATTTGGTACAGAGAATGTACCAGACATAGAAATATCTGGGAACAGTGTTCCTGATTTTATTGATCATGTGGATGATGTGAGATTTGTACAATTTAGAGATCATAATGGTGTTGCCAAGACTTCTGTTGAATTAAATGATGTGAGAAATGTTGCAGAATCTTCCGTTCTTTTCAGTGAACATGAAGCTGTTGAAAATTTCCTATTTGCAATCAAGGACAAAGAGATTTTTGCAGAATCTTCTGTTAAGGATGAAGAAGTCACACAGCCTGCTATTCAGGTAAAGGATAAAGGGTTTGCATTTCCTGTACAGGACAAAGATGCTTTCTTGGATCATACAGTGAGTACACATTTTTCTGGAGGAGATGGTACTCCAAAGGTAAACAGAAATGTGAATAATCTCCAGCCAGAAATGATACAAGACACATATGACTTGGAAGAATATAATATAAAGGTAATTAAGTCAACTCTTAAACTTCTGCAGAGACAATTTGAGGAAGATACAGTGTCACCTGGCACTGGCAGTATCTTGTCCTCCTCCGTTGCTTTGGTTACAAAACTTGAACAGAGTTTGGTTCTTCTTCAGAATGCCATTACTCAGTGCAGAGTACAAAAGAGTGAGTTCTGCGCACAGTTCCAAAAGAGGATGGAAGTGTCAGTCAGTAAGCTGAAAAAGACAGCGGAGGGACTTGTGGATGATATAGATGAGCAGATGTACAAACTGTTAACCAAAATTGTACGGAAGTTGAAAAAGTGTAAAGGAAACTTGCAGGACAAGTGGTGCCATTTGAGAAAGAAATATGATTGTGAGAATGATGCAATATGTAATTGGCTACATAGATCAGTATTTTTAGACTGTGAGAAAAGTGACAGGCAAACCAAAAGGAAGTTAGACCAGTTTTCTTCAAAAGGACCTCATAAATTAAATGAAAAGGTTGTAAGAAGTACCTCAGATAATAATGAGAAAGGATCAGATATACCCAATAATGTTTTAAAAATTCATGTTGTGAAGGACAAACATGATATTTTTAAAAGTGTTGATTCTGATGCAGATCAGAAGAATAGCATTCATTATACAATGACACAGGCTGAGTATCGACCAGACAGTCAGGTACTACAGTCCAGTATCAGTGAAGACTGTATGTCTGACAAAGTTATTATAAACCATGACAGTTTAAATAAACAGCATTTAGAGGCGAACATACCATTGACTGTTTCTAAAGCATTTGAGAAGTCTGGTGGGCAAGAGCAATACATGTCAGAATTATATAAAGAATGGAAACATGACAACCAAGGTACATTCAAGTCTCACTTCAATGAAAAAGAGAAAAAGAAGTATGAAAATAAGCACAAAAATGTACCTCAGTCTAAAACATGCTGGCAGACTTATAATGGAAAGAACTTTTGTCAAAAATTTGTAAATAATCAGCAGTTATTACATTCAAAAAAATTTAAAGATAAATATATTGAATGTGGTCATGAAAATAATCAGTGGTGTGAGAAAAGAAATTGGAATAGTCAGATTAATGATAAAGACAAGAAATATTACAACAAACGAGAAACAAAACATAGTTTGCATGATGAAATCAAATATAGACCGTCTGTAATCTTAGAAGGTGTTATGTCTTGGGCTTTGGTTGATACCAACACCCCTAAACAAAATGTGTCAGGTGACTGGATGTTTAAAATGGCAAATGGTCGTGCTGAGCAACGTAGGTTGGAACACAGAAGTGACTGGCTGTTTGATCGAGCTGATGCACGTAAATTGAGAAGGGAAAGGCACCGTGTGACAGACAATTGGTATTTTCAAAGAGCACGTGGTCGTGAGTACTGTCGCTACTATCCATTTTTTTGACTGGTGCAAAACTGTAATTAATTAATACAATGAAAATGACAGATTGTCAGGGTATTGTGAAAGTCCTTTTAATACTGAACTGCTAATGCAAGAATTGAAAAGTGCAGCACTGTATGTAACCTGTGTGGTTTTAAACCTTTATAACATGTTAACAATAACATGTCTTCAGTGTTTGTTTTTTTAACTGTAGATAGTATAGTTTATATGCAGAGATCTTCATAGTTTCTAATTATGTTTGCATATTTATTTTGGAACATTTATAGTGTGAAACTTTTATTGTACATGACTTTGATATTCTTTAACCTCTTCATTGAATCTGTACTAATTGGTTCTGATGATGGTATATTAGAATTGATGTTACTGGATTTCTGTATTTTGTCCATTATCTGGTATTAAATGGACACAGGAATTCAGAAAATGGTTCTCTTTTGTATCCTCTGGTAGAAAGGTGGGGACTATTCATTTGGGTCCATTAGAAAGAACTAACCTCAGTCACTTATCCAGTGACAGGTTAGCTCTAAGCTCATGGTCCAACCCAAACCTTACATCCTAGGACTTGAACCTCTTCAGACCACCAAGACAACACTTTGAAGATATGATATAAGATGATAAAACTGAAGTGTACCAGTATCTGCTAACACAGAGCCTTGCCTTATTCTCCGAAGGGATTGAACACAGTGTATTGCAGGGATAAATATTTTAATCACTTTAGCTGTGATTCAGACCCACCTGTTCATATGTTTACAAGCAACCACCGCTAACTTGCATTTATAGAACTTTTAGTATTTGGAATTCTTACACATAACCAGACCTTTGTATCTAGCGAAGTACTTCACTTTTTTTAATTAAGAGTGTGTGCTGTGGGATTTTGGGGCCAAATACCAAAACATTTTTGTCTATACATCTTCACAGATACATTTATTCTATCTCTTTTTATTATAATTTTTTACATCTAAGTGTGATTTGCCACACCCATTTTGTTCCACTATTAAGATCATTTCATAACTGAAATTCTTCGTACCATTTGTGAAAGGTTCTTTGCTTAGAAGGAAAATGAACATTCTGCTGCTGGTATACCTATTCCTTTGTTCCTAAATTAGACTTGGCAGGACCATTCACATAGTATTCGTGTCAGTGGATATGTATTTTTGGAAACACATTCTTATTTAATTACAACTTATGTCAATTGAAATTCTGTAGATTATTTTGAGATTATATACAAGGTGGGTGGGAAGTAAGTAGGCATTAAATAATTTTTGCATTGGAAATATAGGGGTTATAACCATTTCTCAATGCCTACTTACTTCCCACCCACCCTGTAGTTTCACATGCTTGCATGTAAATGAATAGCATAGGAAGCAGGGAATCACAAAAATAATAAGTAAAAGGCAGATTGTAAAGGTATTGATCTATTTTACAGCAATACAATATGTGAGTAATATACATATATACACACACACACACTATGATCACTCCTTAGTTTTGGTGAAGTAAAGAGTTATCATCTCACCCTCTGTTGCAGCAGGAAAGGTTTTACCAGTAATCTGTGGTGTTCCAACTGTGTTTCACACTGTTTGTTATATTCTAGTCAATAAGGCAAAGTCTGAAGAAGCTCTGGAGTGCAGGCGCAAAGGATGTGAAGATGCAAAAACAGAAAGACAGTGCTCAGCACTCATCTGATCTAGGCTTCAGGGTCTTTAAGAGAGCTGTCATCTAGTCCAGGATGCTAAATGTCAGATGTGAACCTGGCCATTGCATCCTTCACCAGTATGGGGACCTTTTTTCCTTCTTGACCAGTTCCCATTGTTAGAGCACATGATCCCAACTTTTGGACCGAGTCACTACTGTGTGTGCGAACAATATATTTCAGCAGAGACTCCAGTGACTTCAAATTTCCCAATGACTTCAAAAGCTGTGCAGTGGTTTATCTTGCCACGTTTTATTCGGGAAGACGAAGATTTGTTTATTTCTCACCGCGGAGGACCATGTTCGAGCCCATGTCAATTTTCTTGATGGAGTGATATTAGGGCAGGTTTTCCTGAGTCCTTTGGTTCTCCCCTGTCAGTATCATTCCCGGCTAATTAGAGACACTCGTTCGTCAATAAATTTGATTTTCCTCATATCGTGTTCGTGGTTTCAGCCATTACGGCTTTATGTTTTCATTTTATTACCAGCCTCCTATACACTGGGTACCGCTGGCCTCTCCCGTGCGTAAAGGGCGGTTGGGGCGTGAAGCACTCCACTCTCCTATATACTGCCAAAGCGAAGAATAAGTAGTTGCTATATAACCTCTCCCACAAGCGCTTACATGTCGTGAAGTGGGACAGCTTTACTTCCCTTTTTACTTTGGAGGTTAGTATAATTTTAATATCGTCATTCCATAATTGCATTCTGCTATCGAACACGAATCATTTGATAGTGTTGGCATTACCTGTGTCACTTGATAATTTGGCCAAAGATTGTAGCACGTGTTTTCATCATTGTCGTAAATGTTAAAGTATGATCATCAAATTCACAAATTCTTCATATCAAATCATAAAATGAAAATATTTCTACCTATAGGAACACGACATTAACATACTCCTTTATGTAGCAGTACATGGCGCGGCGGTTTCCTGTTGCTGCTTTCCAAGATATTTTATAACCTCGTAACAAATGTATCAATGTAACCAATACTGTTAAATTGTAACAAAGATAGTTGGTGATGTAACAGTCATAGACACCATACTCGTATATAAATATTGAAACACAAATTTATACAATCCTTCCACTGAATACAGTCTTTAGTAAGTCGATTGTTAGAAAAAAATTATTTCAATTCATGGGTTGGTGACAGTGTGCGGAAAGAAGTGGGAATAACGGAAGTTGTGTTTGTTAAATGAGTGTTGTAGGTTGTGTCTCTTGCGGTAATAATTATATTGGTGTGTGAATGTATTAATTTTTATGGTTACATCGTTGAAGGTTGTATTCTGTATTGGCGTAAGTATTTAGTTAACTTTGCTTTGTATGAAGAGAGTTGTCTGTTCCTTGGGTCACTTCGGTGGTAGTCACGCCCCCCCTATATTTTTAATGAAGTACTGTTTAATCTCATTTCTACTTTTCTTTCCTGCAAGGTAAATAAGTTAAATATTATTTATTTAACGCCCCGGTTCATCTTCATAGGTTTTGTTTAGACATGGTAATAACATTTACTTTTTCAGGCTATTTCCTTACTTGTGATGACTTCTGAAGAAGGATGGAATTTTCCAAGTACTCTTGAAGGATTTGGGTATGCATTCAACAAAGGTAAAAGAAAGATTGATTTCTGGAAAAATAAAGAAATACGCTCATATATATGCTGGAACATGGATAGAAATATGATGTACAAGTTAGGTTTTCTACTTCTCCCACAAAGCTCTGACCATTTCCTGAATAGAAGGAATAATTATACCAAGTATAAATATACCGTTATACCTATGTAATATTATAATTTATCAATCAGTTTTATAATATGGTGATCATGTGTACCTCTCACTAAATTTGAGATTTATTTACAGCTGTTTGGAAGCATAAACTATCCTAATAAACTCAAAAAATACAAAATAAAAAAATTGTAAAACTGAATAAAGTGAGCAGTAAATACTCTTCCCTGTAACATGTCACTGAACTTGGGTTTCATCCAAGATTAGTGACCAGAACACAAACCATACTAGTGTAACTGGACACTGTATTGTTAAGATATATTAATTTCAGGATTTACCTGCCATTACTACCTCTGACACAAACCATTCTGGCTTCCATAACCTCCTAACAGTCACTAAACTTGGATATCACTAGCAATTACAAGGCCTAACATAAACCATTCCAGATGCTGAGTTCGCAGGAAACGATGTTTAAATTAGCTGATTGAGTAAAGCTTATGTTGCATGATCTTAAGGAAAAATGGGAGTTACTGAATTCCAAAGTCACATTTTTTGTGCAAGATTTTTATTTTCAAATTAGGCATATATGCAGTTTTTATATCATATGTTTGTAGACTAAGCTTAATTAAATAATAACATATTAATTGTATGGATAATCATCTTATACATGTGCTTTTTGTTTTTTTAAGATGGGCAGCTTAGAAAAGTTGATCCAGATACTGGCAAGCCTGGATATGAATCTTTTGAGTTTAATGTTAGTGAGAATCAAGAGTATAATCAGAAAAGATACGAAGCTTTGGGTGATGTAAGTGTCAAACAGCTGAAAACATTCATACTTACCATCTGTCAACTTACAACATTGATTATGGTACGAACCTGGTACTGTACCTGTTGCCAGGTACTGATCAAGTTCAAACCCCAGTCATTTTGTCTTTTACCCGGTGTTTATTTGGAATAGAAGCTTTGAGAGGAAGGAAGCTGACATGTAGTTAACAGCCCTGTTCCCTCCTGAGGAGAGTTGTTTAAAAAGTTTCATAGTTCTGTTTGTCCCACAGATGTGAGGCTTGACTTGCCCATCAGTAATGATAACCTTAAGCAGGTATGTCTATGTGGATGAGATCACAGTACAGTAAGGGTACTTGCCTGTTAGTTTCCAAGGACATAAGATTACATTTGGCTGTTGGAACAAAATTTTCTAAAAGTAAAGCCAAAGATTGTTAAATTAAATCTACACAGATCAAATTATGACCTGACAGTTTATAAGTAGCAAGTAGTCCTCAATACATTATGGCCGCTTTTCATGTGAGTTGATGAAGTTCTGAAAAGTGTGTGAATCTTACTAAATTATTGTTTGTTTGTGGGTTTTTTTTTAAATGTAAAGTAATATGTCAGTGCAGAATGTTTTGTTGGCGTGATAAGTCGTGTTATACCAATATTCTGTCGGCCGAGTCTTCCAAATTTTATTGTAGCATTGGAATGTGTTGTGCTTTATGTTTACAGGTGATAACAGAATATGTATATCACCTACTTGAGACTGAAGTAGGACTCCACAGAGAGATGGTTCCTCAGCAAGGATCAGCACAAGAAAGTGCAGTTATCTTTGTTTCTTCAGATATATTGTCGAGGCCAGATCATCTTCTTGTTCTGATTCCTGGAAGTGGTGCAGTGAGATCAGGGCAGTGGGCTCGGAGGTAGGCTTGTAGGAGTTGGCTTATAGGTATAATGATTGTTATTCTTGAACAATTTGGAATGAAGATTTTCAATGTACATATCTCTGTTTGCTTGTTTTTTTAAATTATATGTATATTCCCCCCACCCCCAACGAAACAGAAATCACAGTATATTTTTGAGTGTGGATGATGAACTTTTCTGTTTTTGCTAGTGAGGTTTATATGATTGATTATTTGAAATTGTGTGAAAAGTGTAGACTGGGAATGATTTTCTCCAATACTAAAATGATTGTTCTTGTTTAATTTTCCTTCCAAAGGAAAGGAAATAGTATTCCTGTCTTTCCCCTCAGAATGTTTCTATTGTTCATTACAGATATTTTAATCGAACAATATTTTTATTTGTGCTTATTGATGAAACCAGTTAAGTAAAAATTGGAAAATATAAAATAATAAAAGACAAATATATTTTCAACACACGGAGATTTAATGAACCAAGGCAATAATTATGTGTCCTAGTAAGACGTAACAGTTTATGTTGTGGTTAGTTGCCAGTTTCGTATTTCTGAGGCCTGGCTCCAGTCTATCCGAAGATTCTGAAATTGCTTTGGTTTTCTAATGTCGGTCTTTTCTTTACTGTTGGTTCATGCTGACCTGATACTGCTGCTGGGGTGTGACGGACCGTACTAGCCAGTACATTATCACACTCTTGGTCCTCAGAACTTCACCTTTTATTCACACTTGGGCAGAATGAGAAAAAGGAGATTCTTCTTCTTGTACGTTAAGTTGTGTGTGTGTGTTGCTTGCTTGCTGTTTTCCATGGCACTGATCCAGGTTAACCTGTCTGCATTTCCAGTTTGATTATAAATGACAGTTTACAAAGTGGGTCACAAATCCCATTCATTAAACGTGCAAGAGAACTTGGTTATGCTGTTATAGTGATGAATCCAAATGATAATGTGAAGGTTATAGATGGCAAAAAAATCAAAATTAAGGTGAGTCAAAGAAATTATAATAATTTTCATGATTGCGATAAATAATGTCGTCCTTAAGTGTAAGTAAACCGCCACGGTGGTCTAGCGGGTAGAACGCCGGGCTAGTAATACTGGGGTCCCGGGTTCGATTCCCGGCGGTGCTCAGATTTACAACTTGTGTTGGGCAGGGCCGTGGTCCAGGCATTACGGAGTTTTCCTCCGGGGCTTCCCCGGTTTCTCCGTGGCATCCCAACAATTACTCCACTTTCACCATTTCGCAAAAAGGGGGTCACAGCAGGAGCGTTAAATGTCGCGGTCCCGGTTGAACTCATGTACTGATGGGTCGTGAATCCTGCTAACCACCAATGCACACCATGCTGAATGGTGTGTACTGGAAATGGAAAAAAAAGTGTAAGTATACTTTTATTTATGTGCCTCTCTATATAATACTGACCAGTGCTGTTATTTACTGGTGTGGCATCATTTCATGCAACAAATTAAAAGAGGTTGTGGTCATGTAGAAACTAGACTAGAATCATGTATGGTGTTTCTGCCATTTTGCCATCTTTTTTTGACACAGAATAGCCGTAATGGAATGGAGCATGCAGATTATGTATGGAAACATTATGTTAAAGAAATTAATCCAAAGCATATTGCCATAATTGCTCACAGTTACGGCGGATTCCTCGCAGTTGACCTGGTAAGTCAGTGTGTGTGTGTCTATATATTTATTTATTTCTGTTTTTGAAATGGAAACTTACAAGGAATTGGTGACAGGTGGCATTGAGGTTTCCATTGTTCAGCTTGCATCATTAATTTCCACTTGACCAAATGCTGAAGTTTTTAGAGTGGCCTTTTTTTTGCAGCATATGGCATTGAACCTCAGCCTGTATTTTTTCAGTTCATTATTGCCGTATGAATGAGAAAAGGTACTTGTACTCTGGTATAAAATCAAAAGGCTGCAGTCAGTATGGTACACTTGACGTACTGAAGGTACTGATGAAGTCCACTTGGGCGATCAGCCTTTGTCATCATGGTCAAACCCTGATGATGGAGTCAGAGATGGTCTCTGAAACACTGAATTGCAACTCCATGCTTACATGGTTGATAACTTGAGAAGACTTCATTGCGTTCAGTTGCTGTAAAAATTACAAATCTTAAATACTGATGGTAGGCTTTATAAAACAGAGTGTAGCAGTTCATGAATCCAAGTACGGTTGGTTATTTCTGAGTATAGAGTGATTGGGTTGTGATTTCAAATTTTTATTTTAAATTATGTTCATATTTGCTGATTGTAGTTAAAAGTTGGCTTTGATAATCTTTACATCTTAATTCAGTTTAAAACTGAATTTAAAATAAAATGTTTTGAACCTAATGTCAGTTCATTGATGCATTTAGTGTTATAAAAGGTAAATTACTTTTAGTCATGTTCTTAATTACAGTATTTTAATCATAATACAGAGAGAGAGAGAGAGAAGGGAGGGTACAAAAATAGTCATTGATGTATAGAAATTAAGTCATGTTATGAAGATTTCTGTCTTCTGGGTTGTTGCGCTGTGTAGTCTGGTCGATGTTTACGAACGTTTCAGTGGTCATACTGCCTCCATCCTCAGGGCGTTGGTAAACATCTATCAGACTACACTGCGCAACAACCCAGAAGACAGAAATCTTCATACTCACCGCTGTGAAAACCTTAAATCTTACAAGTCATGTTGTGTTCAGTAGATGCACTTAAAATTAAATATCACTCACACGGTGAGGGCTATTTTGTTGAAATGAAGAGCGTGTCTATTTAATCCATCTTAGAACCTTATTGATTTTTTAATAAATTGCCATGTTAGTATTTACAAGAGTCAGAATTAGCAAGTTATTTATTTTTTCAACAGATATCCTATGTAGTCAGTAGAAGCAGGATGATAAATTCCTAATTTGAGATATAAATAAAATCAGAATGCATACCATAATTTTTAATTAATGTTTTTGTCTTAGGCTACAAAATATCTCTCCGACTTCAGCAGTAGCGTGTTTGCTATTGCCTTAACAGATTCTGTCCACGATTTTTGGGCACAGAAAGTCCCTTCCAAAGTTGCAGAGTACCTGAAAAAGGTAAGTTTCGTTCCTAATTTCCTTCTTTCCGCAGTAACCAAGTATGACCCGGAAGCAACATTTTTATACTTGGTTATGGAACGCACTTTGACTGTTGTCATTCTGCAAAATGTGATGTTTTGTGAATATCTATTGAAGTCATTCCATATAAATCTGTGGTGTATGTTTCTAGAAAGAGAGAAAAATAATTTATGGTATTTCCTTTCTCTTTAAACCATTTTCATAACCACATGTTGCTTGTAGAAATTTCTTTTTAACTGCTTCCTTGATAACCCCAAATTAACTTGGGATAAAAACGGATCCCCGAATATTTTATCCCGAATTAATTCTTATTTGGATTTTTGCTTCTGTCAGTTATTCCTGGCAATAATTTTAACTTCCTTTTTCTGCTTGGAGCCAGAGTTCAATATTTCACTGAGAGATTTCTTTTATATTTCTTTATCTGTATTTGTTGCGGTGCATATGTTATCCGTGTATAATGTGCTTTAATTTGATGATTTTTCCGCAGCTTTTGTTATTGTTATAACTGATTTTAAGCTACTTTTCTTTTTTTGTTATGTGGTATGAACGCTACTTTGATAGTTATGATGGTGAAGTCGAAGACATTTTTATCGGTCGATGAGTCTCGTATTGACAGTTCTACATAAGAAGTAGAAACTACAGGATCGGACAGTGAACAGAAGTGAAAACTTCATGAATTGATATCCAATCTTTTGGAGCAGTTGACTGACCACTGACGAGCTTTGAAAAACTTAGATATCATTGGGAAATTTTGTAGATGAAACCAAACATAATTTTTATTGTATTTACAAAATAAGGAATTAAATTTGAAGGTACCTAGTTTTATTTGTGAAAAGTCCGAACAGAGATGCGATGTGTTTTTTGAAGTTTTCGCTTTTATTTACTGTGGAGAGTACCACCATGTTCCTGTTATGTCAAGTGCCAGTGAGAGTCCGCTAGCTCTTTGTTAGCGGTGCCACCAGTTAGCATCTGTGCGTGGCTTGGTTGCCTCATGCTGTGCTTGCACACGCATGAAGTGTTGATTAGCCAGATCGCATGAAGCCCACCTGTAGGCACAATCAGAAGTTTTCTGGCTGGTCGAATTTTGTAGCCTCAGATGATGATGCTTCTGATTCTTCTGCTCGAATGAAAATTTATTGATCTACTTGGCTGGGGTCTTGGTTTTTTGAAACAGTTATAATCTGATGTCTTCACAGTTCTCATTTTGTTAAATTATATTATATATGCTGTATAATATTTGCATTAGACACAGTATTGTTTGATAAAGTAAGAATTTTACAAAACTTGCGGGAGCTCCCCCCCCCCCCGCCACAAACCAGTTTTGAAGAAGTGATCACCTCTTTTAACCACTTCATAATGATGATAATAATAATCATCATCATTCGAAAGACGCTGTCGTAAAATATGTAGTCATCCCTAACAATAAAACTATATAATACATGTAACACGTATTAAAAACAAAACGTATTTCGGAAATAGCTGCTGCTCTATGTACCTCAGGGACAAGGTCTGTCTCGGGTACATGGAAGTAAATACCCCTATAAAGTGGTGGGTGATAATAATAATGTAATTTAAATGCTTTACGTTACCTTGTGAAACGTTTTTTATTTTTTATTTATTACGGAAATTGAAATGCATACACATATGTAAAAGAGTGTAATATAACATTTTATGAAAATCCACCAAATGGTATCCGAATTGTTACTTGCGGGCAGGCAGACATAAAACTTCGCCAGCTGAAACTGGTTCTCGGAACGCAAAACTTTTCTCGGCATGTGTCTTTTATTTTTCCGACTCTTAGGAAAACATTCTCTTCTTTGTCTACGAACCCAACCCACCTTTCACCTACTTGAAGCCCTGATGGCACGATACTTGAGGTAGATGCACTGTCATTATGTTTCAAGCACTCCTTATGACTGATGACACGAGATGACACAGACGCCTGATTCTCCTCCATCTGCCTTGATGGAGATTGTATCCCATTAAACGCTGGTACAAGAATTACAACGGCAGTAGAAAGCGGAAATGAAATCACCACCATTTCCGTTGATCGATTCTTATACACGTAAGCGCCTCGATTATACAGCGAAATGGATATACTCCCGGTGAGGAAGAGATTAAACGCAGAGTTTTCAAAATGCGAGACCCTGTTGGCTATGATGAGCCGATGCACTGTGTTTTAACTTATTAATATGAGGACAGTACAGGGTGTAATTTTAAGGCATGATTGCTTCTCATTCATTCGATAGAATTAGGAACGATTCGCAGGATCGACAGTGAAATGTGCATTGTATTTGTATAAGTGATGTACCCATTGATGGATACAATGGTAAATACGAATGTAGAAAATGGCACGCAACTTGTTCAAATAGCATCTCAGTTGGATTTCCCTTGAGGATTCCCCGTTATAGGAAGACCTGCATAACGAAATTAGTAATTTATACATACGCACTGTCTTCGCCATCCTCTACACCACGTTTAACGCTGATCTATTATTTTACAGAACTGTCAGACCTATGGTGATATTTGTTTAGGCTAAGAGATCGAAAGTTCATATGATCAGGTTTTTGTGGCAACAAATTAAGGTAGAAGCAAATCTTTTTAATTAAACTGCTTAATATCTGTCCGTGTGGACTTGTGTGTAGACACCAACGGTTCGGAGGAAAATACTGCCTTCATCTTCGTCCCTGACTGTGGCTACACGTCGAAAAATGTGGAGTTAAATCAAACGTTAGGATTACGTATGGAATATATGTTGTATCTGATGGCTTAATAGAACTGAATTATTAACGTGTTCAAAGACAGAATAAACTATCCTTTAAAATAGCGAATCGGCCTCTTGAATTTTAGGTTGTGAGAAGCATCAGAATTTATTCTGTGTACCGTTTACTGTTTTGTTATTAAGGTAATCAGTTGTAGGAGAATGAGGTGAGATTGGTGTGTAGTATACATGGGAGAAATGAATAGTACAAAAAAATAATATGAATCACAAATATTTGGTATCAGAGTAGGAAGGTCTTGTGAATAGACGTTCTTCTTACGTGTGCTGTTTTCGACATAATTACCGTCAAATACAGGTGGAGTTTACGATGCCCACACTTAAGTCACCTGCATTTGATAAGTCGAGGAAGGGCGTCGAAGATTACAAACGTGACCATTTCTTTGAATCATTCTGTGGTCATAATCAACTACCAGTGTCTTGTTATGGAGTAAGGAAGTGTCAGCCGCTGTTTATGGGCTCCGAACGACCAATGTGTGTGTCCGTGATCTCCTCTGTCGTGTGATGAACGGCGTGGAAAAGCGCCAGGAACTGTTGTCTGCAGGAAGATCGTACTGGCTAATTACTTAGCCGCCAACGTGTGCTGAGCATTCTGACATTAAAACAAGGAATAATACATTGACATCTGCTAATGAATTATCCTCTCCCCTTTCTTTCGTATGGATGGATGTTGGCACATGGTAATGTAATAAGGGGAGGAATGGAGGAGGGTGAGAAGAGACGCAGGGGGTGAAGGGAAAAGGAGTAATTAATTGTATGTGCATTGCACAAGCTTTTGCACGATTCTGCTTCATGTATTATATAAGCAGATAGGTTTTAGTAGTGGGATATGGGCAGCTTAGAAGAGCGGCTATAAATCAGTACACTTTAGTTTAAGCTCTTAGAAATTGTGTAACATAGAGGTTCAAAATGCGTTGTCAAAGTTTTAAAGCTCTGTGTATTTAGTGTATTTGGAACTGTAAGTGTAGGATGTATGAGGATGTTTACTGGATTAATGGTGGGCACTTGTGAACATGGTAATGAACCTTCGTATTCCATAAAAGGCGGGAAAATTGTTGATTTGATTAACCCAATCCACATCGTCACGCTAATTTCTTTTAAATCCATTTTAATAATTTGTTTTCAGGCCAGGAATTCATAAGTTTCTCTTCCCTTCTGGTTTTCCGACATAAATTGTGTATGCATTTCTCATCTCATAGAACCCACGAAGACATTTATTTAAACAGTTTGTGAATATGACGAATATTTAACGAAATGCAAGGACAAATAATTTACGGTTTATTTTCAAGTAGTACATTTTTGTAAGAATACATAAACATCAAAGTCAGATCTATGCTAAATCAAAATAACGCTTTTTGAAAATTCATTGCAGATTTCTACTCTCGTGAATGTGAAAATATTACGTAGGGATACAAGTAAAGCAAAGCTGTCCCACTGTACTCCATGCGGGCGCTGGGGGGGTGGGTAGATAAATAGGAGGCTGGTTGGGCCCCACAGCCGGTCTGGACACAGACTAGAGGAATATTGAATTATGATTCTCATGAGTTATCTGTAAGTTGTTAATGTACTAGGCGTATACCGATTTTATCTAAAGTAAAGTAAAGTTTGTCCCACTATACGCCTTGTAGGCGTTTGGGGTGAGTGGAGGTATAGCTCCTCTCTTCCTTGACCTCGGCACTAGATGGGGGTGAGTGGTCAGCATCACGCCCCGGCCGGCTTTACCCCCCGGGAAAGGACCCCGGTACCCATTGTAGAGGAGGCTGGGTGGGCCCCAGAGCCGGTCTGGACGCAGAGGCTAGAGGAAAAATCCTCTGCCCCCGTCGGGGATCGAACCCCGGTCGTCCAGCCCGTAGCTAGTCACTATACTGACTGAGCTATCCCGGCTCATCGATTTTATCTACCATGTGTAATAAACAATTAACTTTTCTAGTAGCGACATGAATGCGAAGTTTTCCTTTTTGTCTAAGCTTCCAGCGTTGGTATACTAATTTGGCCTACTCTTCAAACATACAGGAATATGTGTGTGTGTGTGTGTGTGTTAATTTAGTTGGGCTGAGTTACAAAATGTACCATAACGTTTGCTACTTAGTAATTTTTTACTCTTTTTTTGATTGAAATGTATATATCTTACAAAGTTTTGTGCATTGTGTAATATCATATACTTCCTCCCCTGTGTTCCCCGTGTCTGAAAAGAAACCGGATACCGTGAAATTCGATCATTGTGCGGTTTTAAGAAATCAAGACGAGTTTCTAACAGGGTGCGTGTTAATTTTACAGCAGTGTGAACTCTAACTAGTGCACTTGCACGACTTCAGAGTGCATAAAGCCCTCTTTGAAACTAATCCTTAATGTACGGGGTCTCAGAACACTTACAAGAAAAGTTTTTTCAGTCTCTCATGTTTATAAGCTATTAACCCAGCCAAATTTAGAGGTGTCAAAACGAGACTTTTCGACGTATATTCCAACTTCTGAATGTGTCTTGTTTGAAGACGACAGATGATTGAAAGTTGGATGTAATTATAATTGGCTTTTATATTGGTGTACCAAACTGTGTTAAAGTCGGCCAGAAAATTTAAGCGTTTTAATTAATGTTATAGTTGTCTTACTTCTGAATAAGCGAGCCATATTCGAAAACTTGTTCCGTTCCATTGCCCGAACGTTAGAACCCCTACGAAAAGCGTGGTTTAAACCCTCGAGTTTTGGTTTGCTATCGCGGGGTTATATACTGGCCTATGAGTCTGTTCAATTAGATTTATAGCAACTAAGAAATTTTAGCCATTTTTTTTATAAAACATTCCGCCACATTCCAACGAATTGAAATGAATGCAATCACATTAAAATTATGGTTTTAATAATAAAATAGTGTTGAGTGTATGCCATATCCTTACATTTCGAATTTATTGTACTGATTTTTAAACTACGAGATAGGTTTTCTTTTCTTGCGTATTTCCCGTCGATTGTAGAGAACAGTATGTCCCATTATCCTAATGCCGTTAAAGGTTACAACCTCGTTGACACATCTGGGGAAACCGTATTTATGCATCCTGCGTCAATCCGACTTTCGAAAGGTACTCGGGCACGTGATTTTGCGCCGAAGATGTCTGCAACAGAAGACATGCATGAAACCTTTCTCATTCAGCCAATCCAATCCTCATTTTTTTCCCTCTCTCTGTTGATGGTTAATACTGTCCCTCCCTTGAAGTCCACCTGTGTCGGGTAATTCTAGGGTTTCGGAGACGCGCAGTTCTGAAAGACTCCTACGGTTGGGGTGGCGCCTCGCCTCTGTCAATTGGTGGTTGTACCGGCCCCCCTGAAATAGACCCTTTTTTGTATATGATATTTTGTTTTGTCTTAAAATGTTTGTCGAAGACAATTTAAAATAATGTCGTAATGTTTCTACCTTATTGAAAATGAAGTACAATGAGTGGGGCCCATAACTCACTGTAAAACAGATTTTCTTCTTTCGAAGATCGGCTGTTGGATATACGAGTACTTTACTTGGGCCTGATTATTATAACCATTAATGAGGTTTAATGCATGTCTAACGGCTCTTAATTCATCGTTGACTGACGACACGTACAGATAAACGTTTCGTCTTGCGTCTGTACTTTACAAGTATCTCCAACCTGAAAAGTTATAGTGAAATTTTGTTACGCATTTTAGATGTTGACTTTCTACTCGTATATGTCAGTCTGTTGTGTAATGATTTCTGGCAAGAGCTGTCAGTCCAAGTCGGAATTTTCCAAGAGGTTTATCCACCAACTTGTCGTTGCCTCCTCCATCTTAGGTACATGTTCAGCCCAACGAATGCTATTAGATTGCGTTATCCTAACAACAGCCGTCTAGGTTAAAAAGAAGGTTTTCAGGACGACAGGTGGATGGAACTGGCGCAGGATAATATCCAGTGGCATTAGCGGCTGCTGCCAAGACTCGAACTCTAGCCATCCAGCCCGCATCCTGTTACACTGGTGACGCATCTGTCACGGTTCCTTAATACTAGTGTAATGGCTTCCGTTTTCTAGAAGATACCCTCTGACGGATCTGCCCATCTTCCCGATTCAGACAATCACTTTGTTTTTGAATGGATTCTGTTTTAATTTTTTGAACATATATATTTATGTGTGGGTGTTTGTGTGTTGCTATATCGTGCTATTTTAATCAAACGTCTCTTGAAATTTAGTTAATTCAGTAATTGTACAAAACATGTTTTAATCGCACATAAATACCAACATTTTACAATTTGTTATTTGGTAGTAATACAATCGCCAGTGCTTAAGAAGTAGGTCTATCTGTTTTCTTAAGGGCAGTGTTACGGAATACGCCAATTATGTGCTGTGCCATAACTCTGCGCTTTTCCTTCAAGATAATCTACATCTGTGAGATTTGAGGTTCGTTGTTCTTTGTTGTGACGCCGTGACAATTTACAGAAATTATTATTTTCAGGTGTCGCGTAATTGGGCTTCCCACGACACGTCACTGGACACACGACTGTCTCATAATAAGGAGGGTGATATTCCTCGAGTTTCAGCAGGTAACATTAGTAGCATTAGCTTTCCTTCTTCAGCTGTTAACACTGTTATCGCTCGCTCTGCAGTGTTAAGTCATCACCATACGTCTGCGGGTTAGCATTACCTTCCGGCTTTGGTGCAGTTAAAACAAAGTAGTCTAGGCTAGCCGAAAAGAAGTTCCATGTAGGTGCCAGCAAAATACTATGTTATTCAAATTAAAACGTATAATGAAGCTTGAAAAGTTTAAGTTTTCAGCTTTAAAGAGACGGTTTATTTATCTTAACTTACCTTAAAGAAAGATTGCTTGCGGTTGCACACTGATTATTTGATTTGAGATTGTGCCCCATAGTTTGACCACTTCAGGAGGGAAGGATACATATTTTGTTATTTGTACTTTTCTGTACGGTTATGTTGGCTTCGTAGAAAGAAGTGTTTTTAAGCAATGCAATCAAATGTCAGTTAACTGCGTTGCAAGTATTGATTTTTTTTTATAGTTTTAAGACATATATTAGATTCGAAACAGTGGTCGCCTGAGTGGGATTTGAGGTTTTCGCGACGGTGAGCCTTCTGGGTTGTTGCGCTGTGTAGTCTGGTCGATGTTAACCAACGTGTCAAGAGGTCGTTGCTGCGTCCATCATCAGGGAGTGATGACGATAGAATGCGTACAAGATTGAGAAAGTAGATGTCTGCAGTGGAGCGTCACAGCAATCGAGACGTGATTTCCGACTTCAAGGTTGAGTCTCGTCGTTATCAGCTGTGAAGTTTGTAACAGATACGCGAACAGAATGAGGTCAAAGTTGCGGGGATTCAGTCAGGTTCCTACGAAGTGAAATTATCAGTTTGAGACTAATCTTGAACAAATAAATGCCCATTGTTTTTAAAGGTATGACTCCAAACACAAACTGAAAAAGTAATAATTAACGTACAGTAGTAATAATAAACGAAACGGTGGTCTAGCGGTTAGAACGCTTGCCTTGTAATCCTGGGGTCCCGGGTTCGATTCCCGGCGGTGCCCGAATTTATAACTTGTGTTGGGCAAGGCCGTGGTCTAGGCAACACGGAGTTTTCCTCCGGGGGCTTCCCCGGTTTCTCCGTGGCATCCCAACAATTACTCCATTCACACACAGAAGAAGGCAATGGCAAACCACTTCTGGATCATCTGCCAAGAACGTATATGAACAGGTCCCAGTCCGAGAAAAGGATGGAAGGATCCTGTTCATATGGACCTGTCGTCAGACAGAACACTAAATAAAATAATAATAATAATAGTAATAATAATTATTTGTTTCACACGCCCAACAGGTGGAATCGAACCACTCTGACGTTAGTCAGCTACAGGTTTGAAGCCTGCACCCCGGACCACCGAAGATCAGTTGGGCACAGTAAAGAACTTGCAAACTGGTATATATGTCTTGTAGATGCTGTAAAATAATACCTGCGGAAACTAATGATTCAATTTCAAATGTAAAATTTGTTTGGTGGTGCTTTATCATTTTGGTGTCCGATAATAGTATTTAGAAATATTTCCCAGGAATTGGTGACGATGTTTTTAATCTACGTTTTGCCAAAAATTGTTTTACTGTATACACTTGTAGGTCCATTACTAGCGATAGAGGATATATATATTTATTGCCACAAGGACAGGGTGACCCACTCTTAAGACCTTACCAACACAAGTTATTTAGGATTTAAACTATTTTTTATCAAGAATGGCATCTGTTGAGAGCCCCGAAGAGTTTAATCATTTGCCCTATCCTGGTATTCAGTTGGTTTGGTCCTAACAGTTACCGCTAATTTTCTTTCGAAACATTTGTTTGTCAGATGTGTAAAAAATGGACAGTGGCCAACATATGTTAGGACAATGAATGAGCCAAGGTGACTACCCTTTAGGGAATTTTCTCGTGTTGCCCATTGGATAGGAGGGTGGGAGTGCCCCAGAGCAGTTCTAGAAGTTCGCTTTGCCAGCACCAGCTCGCCTCACAATTACAATTTTGTGATTTAAATTCGTAACGGGCATACTTCACGCAGACGATCAAGTGCAGTCAGATGGTGGGGTGGCATTGCGGCATATCGGTTGACCGGCGTCTCTGCTGTACTGGTTGACCTCCACTTGACTAGAAGTGTTCTCGAGGCAGGGGCACTTTCAATATAGCTTCGCTCTCATAAGCACTTACTGCACGTTCATTGTACAGCGTAAGTGCTACGGAAGGAGAAAATGTGTGAGTGGTG